TCTGAATTGACTATGGGGCTCTCAATGTACAAAATCAAGAAAATTCAGATGTTGGAATCCTTATAACAAACACATTCAACCATCCAAAATAGAAGCCAAAAGCACAACACAGCATCAACAGCTGCCAAACACAGAGCATTGAAGAACAAGAAAGTAGTGAACCCTCATTTTCGCTTATATCTAATTCATGAAGAAGCATCTATAGCCACAAATGTTGCAGTTCAATTGCAGTTGCTACCTAATTCTCCATTTCTCACGAATGCCCACTTCCTTCACATGATTTTCCAAACTGCAGAGGCAGGGGGGAAATATTTAAGATAAAATGAATGCATAAAGGCTTCAAGCAAGTATCATAATCCAAGAAGATAAACAGATCATGCCCATTGCAGTTGTCAAATCTCTATTCTGAACCCATTACAAGACAAGATTGGCAGCTCAAGATTCATCAAATATGTTTGCAGACTACATGTGTGTTGAATTTGGCAAGTATGAAGATTGCCTCTTTTTGTCTCAGCGGTATCAAAGGAAACAGCTGGCTGATTTGACAGTTTCCTTCTCTGAATCCTAACGGCTAGCTGCTCTCTGTATATATATCTCTTGTTGGTTTCTCATTGGATTCACTTTTGTTAAAGCTTGTTAGCGGTAAAGGGCTTAAAGCTTGGAAATCACAAAAGGGCTTGGTATACACAGATAGGGTTGGCTATTTGGACCGGGACCGGATGAAAAAACGGAAACCGGACCGTATAACCCGGACCGAGACCGGACCGGGACCGTATAGTAAACAATCCAATCCAATCTTTGGGCTTAGATTTGAGGTAAAAAACCGGATAAAGACCGGATAAGAGAGCTCAACACCCAAAACTTAAGAGTAATTTGCATAAACGGTCACAAACCTTTACACTTAGTACAAAACTTAACCAACTCCTCACCCTTTTAGGCCTTAGGCCACTCAAATTCCCACAATCTCAATATAAAATCAAGACCGAATTGGGACCGGACCGGGTCAAGACCGGACCGGATCAAGACCGGACTGTATCCAATCCAATCTTCGGTCCTTATATTTTCAAAAAAACCGGACTGGACCGGATCAATTTGGGCCAATTTAACCGGACCGTATAGCCACCCCTATACACAGAGGTAGAGGTTCTGAGTGTGTCAAGGCTGATCAGATCAAGACTGATCTGGGCTATCGGTTCATCTTTATCATTCTGTTATTTAGTTGTGTATCTTTGTTTCTTCTTTGGATTGTCAAAAACTTCAAATAATAAAGGTCTCCCAGACCATATTCTGGGACGTGGAAGTAAACCATTGCACTTGGGCGAACGACGTTAAAAATATCGTGTGTCATTTGTTTTTCTGCTTCTCTCTTGTGTATCAAATCACTGTGTTCAAGTCTCTGTTCTTCCTCTGTTTTCGCCTTGCTGTGTCTCTGTGCTCTGCTTGTTGCCAAGAAGCAATTCCCTCTGGAATTCGTGTTTAACCGAGACTGGGCTTTAAGCCTGCCTATTAGTCTTGGCTGCAACAAGTTAGAAGTGGAACGTGGGCCTAGTATACTCGGGCCCAGACATAAAGAAGAGATCGAACAAGTGTCCAAGACACTCTTCCTCTTCTAAGACGTTCTTGTCTCTGTCGATTCCGTTCCATTTCCCCTTAACCCTAAATTTCTTCTTCCTTGATAACGATTTCAATGTGCACCAATTTTGTTGGCTTAAGGGTTTCCAAACATGGGGTTTTGACCCAATTCCTAGATATTGTAGAAATTCAGCCCAACATGGGGTTTTGTAGAAATTCAGCCCAATTTTCACATCCAACCGACCCATATGTTTACTTTCGCTGTTCTTCTATGAAAAGTGTCATGGAAATGGGCAGTTGGCACTTGAGATTCTTTGACAATGAAGATAACAAACTTGTAAAGTATCATAGCTAACTTCGTGAACTTAACTACAGCGATTCACACTAATGTAACATCCCATGACAAAAAAAAAATTCCTTTTACAGATGTGTCGCCTATATTTCGACTATCGTCCTTATTTCTTTTTTAATCTTCTTTATGATAATAGCACGAGAATACTAAGACTTTCATAATATTTTGTTATGTTTCAATATGTAATTTCGAAAAAAATAAAACACAACTAAAATAGAAAGATACACATAGATCCGCCTGCATCTTATTATTCCCCAGTTATAACAATGAAATTGAGTCGGCTAATGAAACAGTAAAAGGTACCATATTATTCCAATAATATATCTGGTCGGTCAACTCGTTTTCCCTGCATTTCTTCTCCCCTTCCTCCTCTCCGTGTGTCTCTGACTCTATATATCCGCGCCGTATCTTTGGTTTCTCATTCAGTCAAAGAAGAACGGAAACCCCATTTCATAACCAGAAAAAAGGAAGCATACCAGAGAAGAACACCGACCATAAACGAAAACCCAGAACCCAAATACCTCCTCCGGTTGTCAAAGGAAAATCTCCGTGGTAAGTTTTCAATTCCTGTATTCTTCAATATCTGGGTCAGTTTCTTAGGTTTTGCTTAGTACCATGGCTGCTTGCGAGTCGATTGCTCTGTTTTCACCTGAATTCGATTCTTTAATTAGTTTCTAAGAGGAGGAGTACGTGTCATTCGACGAATTTTCTGGTCTCCTTTCGTAATTAGGATTCTTCCCTTAGGAACCCATCTCGCCCTTTCTCTTTTGGAACCTCTTCCGGTATTCTTTTGTTTGTTGGTTTCCATTGAAACAATTTGTTCTCGAATTCAGAAATGAGGGACTTTCCCATGTAGTGAATGAGATCATGAATGAATCTGCCGGTGGTGGTGTTGCTAGTATTCATTTATCTTCCCATTTCGGTTTTGCTTTTTCTGCAGGTTGGTTGATTTCTCTTAGAGGTAACCATCAGTAGCTGGCTAGATTTCTATAGTATCATGGACACACACCAGCTCTTTGGATTCGCTGTCACTGGTGCGACGGGAATGTCTTACTCGTCTCCTTACCGGGCTGTTTCCTCGGTGCCTGATAGGCTATTGGGTTCACTGATGTTTGAGACAACAGGGAATTCAGTAGCTAGCTCGCCATATTCTTCAAATCAGTTTGATAGTGAGACGGTTAGTTCCATGAGCGACAGCCAGGAGCAACTCAGCTCTACACCGTCTCTCTCTGGATTCAGCCAGTCCGGGGGTAACTCTTCTTCTGAATCCAACAGTAATTTCCACCACCAGCCACGCACCAGTCTCCAGCTCTTTCCTTGTTCTGAATCTACCTCGCAAGATGCACGTTCTGGCCCTGACATGAAACATGCATTGGAGCAATTGGAGACTGCTCTCATGGGACCTGATGAGGACATGGCTGAGCCTAGTGATTACCATGGTGAAAGTGGTCAGCCACAGACACCAGGTGAGGAGACTAGGGCTTGGAGCCAAGAGGACCAGCAGCAGGGTTCTCATGTCATCCAGCCTCAGCCTACGTTTAGCTCATGTCCCCGGCAGTATGAAGGAGGTGGTGTTGAGAAGCGCCATAAAGCAGTGATGCAAGAGGTAGCAACTTTACAAAGTTCCCAACCCAGCAATTTGAAGCAATTGTTGATTCAATGTGCCAAGGCTCTTGCTGAAAACAACATGACTGGTTTTGACAGCCTTGTGGAGAAGGCTAGAGGCAAGGTCTCCATCACAGGGGAACCAATCCAACGCCTTGGTGCTTACCTGGTAGAGGGATTGGTGGCAAGGGAGCAAGCATCAGGAAATAAAATCTATCGTTCCCTCAACTGTAGGGAGCCTGAAAGCAAGGATTTGCTATCTTACATGCAGGTTCTGTATGAAATCTGCCCTTACCTCAAGTTCGGTTACATGGCAGCCAATGGAGCCATTGCTGAAGCTTGCAGGAATGCCGCGCGGATACACATCATTGATTTCCAGATCGGTCAAGGGACACAATGGATGACCCTTCTTCAGGCTCTAGCAGCCAGGCCAGGTGGAGCTCCACATGTTCGCATCACGGGGATTGATGACCCTCTTAACAAGTATGCTCGTGGTGGGGGCTTGGAAGCAGTTGAGAGGAGATTGGCAGCACTTTCTGGGAAGTTCAACATCACAATCGAGTTCCAAGGCCTGCCAGTTTTTGCCCCAGATGTAACCCGGGAGATGCTTGATGTACGACAAGGGGAGTCATTGGCTGTGAACTTGCCGTTGCAGCTGCACCACACACCCGACGAGAGTGTGGATGTGAGCAACCCTAGGGATGGGCTTCTTCGAATGATCAAGTCCCTGAATCCCAAGGTCACCACTCTCGTGGAACAAGAATCGAACACCAATACAACTCCTTTCTTGACCAGGTTTGGGGAGACTCTGGAGTACTATTTGGCCATCTTTGAGTCTATTGATGTGACCATTGCGAGGGACAGGAAGGAGCGTATTGGGTTGGAGCAGCATTGCTTGGCTAGGGACATGGTGAATGTGATTGCTTGCGAGGGGAGGGAACGGGTGGAGAGACACGAACTTTTCGGGAAGTGGAAGTCTAGGTTTACAATGGCAGGGTTTAAGCAGTACCCTTTGAGCTCCTATGTCAATTCCGTGATCAAGAGCTTGCTCAAGTGCTACTCCGTTCATTATACTTTGGTCGAGAAAGATGGAGCCATGTTATTGGGTTGGAAAGACAGAAACTTGATCTCTGCTTCGGCCTGGTACTAAGCTAAGACATGTGAGAAATGTCCTCCTGTGTATCATTTCGTACTGTATTGTATAGAAAGGGGGCAGGCAGCCCGGTATTGTCCTAGTTTAATGTTGTAGAGATGCCATTTATTTGTTGAAACTAATATATCTCTTCGTTAAGAGTACTGTAAAATGAAGGCGATTGGAAATTTGCATTGAAGAATAAACAGAGGTTTAAGTGCACTCACTCATAAACTGTCAGAAAAGCATTACATATAAGCAGAGGAAGTTCTTCAAAACATGTAAAGGAAACTAACAGAACAGAGAGCAATAAACTGCGGTGGTGGAATCTTAAAAATCTTATGGCAGGTTGCTGAATTTGTCGACCATCTTCATCTTGGAGAGATCAAATTTCTTGAGGAGGTCCTGCTGCTGAATCTGGTCGCTGGTGGGGAGACCCATCTGCTTCTGGCGCTGGTCGAACATCATCTTCTCCACCGTCGACCTCATCTCCGGATCCAAATCGCTCAGCCTGCTCGGCTCCGGCTCCACCTTCTGCGTGTCAATCTCCGGCCCTCCCTTCACCAGCGACTTCCACCAATTCCTCTCGTCCGACTTCGTCAACAGAACAGATACGATCTTCTGATCCTCCAATTGCCAGAAAGATTCGCCCACTTTCACTGGACCGAACAATTCGCCGTCGACGATCATCGCCTGATCTGCGCCCTTGAGCCCGAGCTTCAGAGAATTCTTCTTGATCTCGCACGATACCTGCCTCGATTTCGTCCCCGGAGGGACTGGAACGGTGATCGTCACTTCTTGAAGGCTCTGCCCCCATGAATACTTCTCCAAGTCGAGCCCATTGCCAGCGTTTGGAAGCAGGGAAGTGGGTTTCTCTTCCTTCTCGTCCTTCCCCGCCGCAGCCTGATTGTTCTTTTCTTGCGGGTGATTGCTTGGAGGAAGAGGAGGAGTAGGAGAAACCTGAGTTTGTTGGGGCTGCGTTTCTTCGACGTCCGTGAGGATCGCCATGGCTGCTGGAGGAATTGGAATGGATTTGTTAGGGTTTTGTAGTTGTGGGTTCTGTTGGGGACGATCGCATGTGGGAGGTCCGGTAGTTATTGAGAAGATTTTTGGAGCGAATCCAGGCCTGAATATGAGGAATTCAGTTTCCGATTTTGATTCGGAAACTCTTGAACCCCTTGAACCTCTAGACTCTAGTAGGAGGAATCCGCATCCGAGAAATTTTACAATGCTATTATCTCTTTAAAAGAACAAGTTACAACTTTACTGTTTCGTAGAGTCACATCAAAACACTGTTATTTAGTTTGTTTTTTCATAACTAACTACTGCTACTTAGTTTGCTTTTTCAGAACTTGGAGATTGATTTCCTTCTTTTGCCGTCGTTCCGTTCCCTTCTTTTGCCTTCTCGGTTCTCGATCTCTGATTGGTCCTTCTTCTGACACGGACAAGCGTCAAATCGGAGGAGTGGCACTCTCGTAATTAAGGGTTTCCACCAGTCATGTCATAGGTGTTCTCTCCGAGATCTTTGGCCTGCCAATAAAGACTTTTTTCATTGGCTCTCTCTCTTCGTTGCTTTTCTATCCTTCCCCTCCCTCTCGCATACCTCTTCCCAGAATCCCAGCCACCCACTCTCCTCTCTCTCTCTTGAAGAAGAAGAAAATGGAGAGAGAGAGAAATAGAAGACTCTCCTGTCAAGCCAGAAGGAGGAGGAAGGAAGGATCTGATCAAGCCCAGCGATGGCAGCAACGGGAAGGCCGGCGATGGCGTCGACGGAAGGTCTGCCATGGACGCCGACGATGGTTTCGACGACGACGACTAAGGTAAAAGGCGTTTTCCTTTTTTTCATATTGCATTTTATGAGATATATTTTCCTATTGGTTTGAATTTGATTACTTCTTGTTTTGTTCATGGGGTTCTCGATCAGGCAGAGGGAAGTTGAAAGATGTGAACGTCGATGGCGGCAAGGGGAAGGCCGGCTATGGCGGCGACGGAAAGGTCTGGCATGGACGTGAGTGATGGTCCTGCCGATGATTGCTTAGGTCAGAGGTTCTTTCCTTTTTGCATACATGCAGTTTTTGAGATTTTTTTTTAGCTTGAGCTCTGATTACTTCGGCCGTAATTGAGAAAATATAGGTAAGGAAGTGAGGTCGTTGGGCAGAGGAAGCATGGCTTGTTGCCGCCGGTGGTACACCGGCCGTCTAAGATGAGTTCTTTTGTGGATTTAGTTTACTTTTCAGTTTCCGTGAGTTTGGATCTTTAGTTTATTGTTCTCTGCTAATCCTATCCTACGTTTTCTTATTTACTTTTCGTGATTGACAAGAGTCAAGAGAAGAGGAATTGTCGCTGTTGTGTTTTTTCGAAGGTAGCAGAGGCGACCCACTGCTCTCTAGGTAAGCCTCTTCTTTTTGGATTTTGTTCTGTTTATATTCTGGGTCTCTGCCTTTCTTTGATCTGGTTCCTATTTGTTTTTGTTTTGATTTGCTTTCCGCCAAGGGAAAAGTGAGAAGAAGTCGCCATCGCCATTTCTCTCTCCATCTCATGAAGAAGAAGAACCAGCTTCAGGAATGATCTCCAACTCGCTCCTGCCGGCTTCAGTTCCTCTCCCTTCTTCTCTTGAATCTAACCTTTTATTCTTCTTTCCCAGGTTATCTCTTTCGTTTTTCAGATTCGCTTGGCACAGAGCTCCCATCTTTCTATATTTTTTCCCGACAAATCCGATCTCTTTTCTGGTGGTCAGTCCATGAAGGCAATGGAAGGAACCACTAGCTCCTCTCTACCTTTCCAATTTCATCATGGTATTGTTATTGCTAAATTGGGGATTGTTGGTTTCCTTTTATTTGGGTCTCTCTTTCTTATTTCCACGTTGTAATTCTGATTTCCAGATTAAAACTCTCTCACAGGATGCAGCAAAAAACCAACACAACAGTCAGTCTTTGTCATTGCTGGAACGCTAGGAATCCCAATTAAACTCCTATTAGGGTTCTCTCTGTTTGGCAGATTGATGTTGAGGTATCCCCTTTGTCATTTACTAAGCCTATCCATGGTCTCATTGCTCTAGCGACAACCGTTATTGGGGAACGTTCAGCCTTTGTGTTGGATTCTTCACTTAGTGCCATTTTCCACTGCATGAACACATAATTGTTAGGTTTCTTTGATTTGATTACTCAAGACATTTTATGAGTTGATGATAAATTTGAAATGGGGTTCTGCTTTTTCCAGGGAAGCGCTTCATCGTAATGCCTCTTGAGAAGATGCATCGTCGTGGTGGGTTGTTGGTGAGTGGGGGTTCTGTTCAGGCTATCACTACCAAACAATTGCAGTTTGGATTGGGGTCAAACCGTCACTAGCCTATTCCTTAGACGCCCATCTAACCCTTCATGATATGCATCAATCCGAGTAATGCCTGAGTGCTTTTTTGTACGACTATTTTGCTGGTTTTAAGATGAGAATTAAACAAGTATAAGAGGGTGCTTTATGCTTCTGTTGCTGAGCCATCTCAATGGTCACTTGCTGGATGCATCCAGGCGTATAGAGTGGTGGAGATGACTATGTTGTTCAGGTATTTTCTTCTGTGCTTTGCTGATATTCTCGATTTCCATGAATAGTTATGGTTAGAGTATTATTATTGGATTCTTTTTAGAATCCAGTGAAAATTATTGTTGTAAGTGTGATATTTTCCTTTTTTTCGTCAAAGCACGAGACATGATTCTACATTGCCTATTTTGTACAAGTCAATGCACTTCACCAACTAACGCAGCTCAAACTAATGGATTGAAGTTTACCTTCAATATCCTTTTTTAGGTCCCATGTCTGCACCAGTAATACTCCCACTGAAATCCAAATAATTAGATCACTCAACAATTGAATAATGTTGGATTGTGATTAATGATGTTGCTGTTGGTTTTTGTATATTTTTTATCTTCCGCATACTGTTTATTTATTGCTCGTGAACAAGCGCCGCTGGTAGTGAGTCAGAGTCAGGCACTGCACCATGTTGCCATTTTTGTAGCCTGAACCTGTTTTCAATCATTGCCAGTTATATGTTGTGGTCTCGTGTGTCAATCAACTGAAGGCTGCAATGTTTGACATGGATCGAAGAAAGTGTTGGAAACCACACTTACAACAGTGTTTATTCAGAAGCTTTCGAAAAACTAGAAGCCACCATCTGGTCCTTCTATCACCAATGCAAGGTATTTCCTTTTCTGATATGTTGTATTTAGTCCCAAATGGGCTAGCTTCCCTTGAACAAATTTTGTCAGTTATGCATAAATAACAGAACCCTTTAATTAAGTGTTATTGTTTTCACTTCATTACAGGATTCTTGAAGATGTGATGTTGCTGGATGGAATAGGTGACAACGAAGGCCGTCCTCTGTTCAACGTACATGCAATGTAAGTACCTGGTCAATGGGATCCAGTTTTGATTTTACAATTTGTTTTGCGGATATTGTAGTTATTGACAAAATCCTGAAAGTAGAGACTGTTAGAAACTTAGAATCTCAACCCACTAGATTGGTTGTCTATGTCATATTCACAATTTAAAGTTTAATTGAATTTTCATTCAAGCCAGATTACATGGTAGTTCTATGAGTCAAACATCCGAGTGTCAAACGACAATACTTAAGATGTTATATCACAAAAATAGAGCCAGTGAGGTTAATAGAAAATTCATTTAGCTTTCTCTGGAGTTCATGCAGCCTAACACAACTTCCTCTTACAATGAACATTAAAACAATACAGTTTCAGTCTAACGTATAGAAGGAAACAACGTCTAGGTAGCGTAAAAAATACATAACTTGCCTCTGCATTCACATGACTATTGACTGGGCTATTTTTATCTTGGCTCAACTGACCTAGGCTTTTACCCATTGTAAGGATTTCATTTTACTTACTCATTTGCTACATTCACCGCCTACAATCTGCATAGTAGGATGTCATTTGTGGTATCTTTCCAAATTAAATTGACGTAGGTAATTCAACGGGAACCATTACAGGATCATCAACACTGCTACCATTAGAAGTCTTTCAGGGATGCAACAAAAAAAAAACCACTCATTTAGCTTCCAGCCTGGTAGATTGTTGACATACTCATTGGTGCCATACAGGGTCCAATGCATAATGGTACTTCATTGTACCATATAAAATGCCATAATATCGTTCCGTCCACCATTTATATGTATTTGCCATTCGTTTGGCAAGTTGGATTTATGCCTTCGTCACAAACTCACGATTGAGTGATGTTCTGCTCTTTTTTGCTGTGACTTGATGGAAACTTAGGCTGAACAGTTACTTCACGGTCTGTTCTTCACTTAAAAGTTCCCTCTGCAACTTCCTTTTTGTTCTTTTTAAAGCTCTGTTTTACATGCCCTCTCTTTGCTCTTTAAGTCATGTGTTCATTATTAGTCTAACGAGTTCAGTGTAAGTTCCATAGTTTATGACCTATTTGGAATGCTAAATTTTCAAATATGCACTTCTTGCGTGAGATGTAGCCCTTTAACATAGATGGACGCCCGAGGAGAGGTGGGTAGGAGCGAGCCTGAATGTTAGAGTAGAGAGGAAAAAGGCTTGCTGCATGAGATCTAGATTCGGGGTTGTTCTTTGTGGATTTCATAGTTCTGATACTTATGTTTATATGTTTCAAGTCAATCGACCTCTGGTACTGCTATTATTTAGCCTTTTTTCATCTGTATATCCTTCTGGTTAGTGGTAGTAAACTGACGTGTATTTGTCCTTTCATACAAATCAGTTTATCTCCAATAAATGGCAGGACTCCAACAGTAAACTGAGGCAGTAGTGAAAACACAGTTAGAGTGAAATGATCGATGTGTTAAATGGTTCCTAAGAACTCAAACATTGTTCGTGGCTGATTGGTAGGCGACCCAATGGACATCAATGGCAGGACTTTTCAGGGTGTGGGATTCCTGAACAAGAACTTATGCCGAAGCCGCGGAAGGAGAAATTGACTATGGTGATTTTAAGTTAGTTCTCTTAGCTGCCAGTGCTTCTCTTGCCAGTTATCTGCATCTTTCCACTGTTCATGGTAAAAAGGGTAACATTGTTCCTATCTTTTATTGAGTGGATTGTCAGTGATTTGATTGCTTCACGATTACATATTCTTTATTCCTTATCGTTCTTTCTGAGAATTGCTTACTTCAACAGGCTACATCATACCCAGGAAAACACCATTGCCATATTCGATAAAAAAAAGACATTTGTAGGCAGATTTCAGCATACACTAACCACGACTTGATCCAAATACCACCCTAAAAATGTCTCTGCCATTATTCTATCCTGACAATAGGAGATCCTTAACAAGTAGAAAGAAAGCTCTTTACTGCAAAATGCAGAAGTATGCCTTCTTTCCCCATACTCAACCATATACGGAAGCATTATGGTAGCCACCAAAAGGAATACCCTCTATTTCCTTTGGGTCCTAATTCTTGAGTTGGGAGAGCGCACAAGTAACTTAAATGTGACGGAGTGGCTTACCTTCTGTAGCCAAAGTTTATAACCAGTATAACTTTGTAGACTTCTCTAGAATTTTTCATATCATAATAGAAATTATGTATATTGTCAACTTCAACTTGACGCGAAGCGTAGTTAGTGTGCTTATCTAAAGTAAGCCCTTAACTGTTATATGTTTGTAGCCAGATGCGCAAGTGCAGGATATTTTCCTTGATTAGTTCAATTGATTCAAATGTTTGCTTTTTTCCTCCATGTCTACCGCAGGCAAGAGAGCTTATTCTTTAGCATGGGGTTTGCAGTATGTGAATCTTTTCATGATCAGAACTGGTTATATCATCTTAGTTGGCCAGGCTCTTAAGGTGAGCCGATTGAGTTGTCTCTCTTGGTTGAAGCTTTTTCTTTACTGTTTGGTGTATATTTTTGGATGTTTTTTTATTTTTCGGTCATCTTTTGCACGTTAGGTGTGCAGTGTCCGTTAGGTGTGCAGTGTCCGTTTAATCTTCTGCAGGTCTGGAACCAATGTCAGCCGAGCCATCAGAGGAGTGTAGGTCAGAAGATGTCTTAAGAGAGAAACATGCCCAATCTGCCGCACGAAACTGATCAGAACTCTCTTCTACTTGCAGTTTAGTGACAAGGTTAGCTCCTTACTTCATCTCTTTTGCTATGTCAGCCCTTTTTATCAATTGTTCTATTTTACTGGAATTCACTCGATCTTGCTTAAGAAATTTAATGTACCAAATCAAATTTACTTATTACTTCGGATTGTCCTTTGCTCATTTATCCGTACATCTCTATGGAAACACAGGCTTGCATTCCTTGTGATAAATATCTTTTAAAATCTCCTAACAACTGAACTGTGTTCATTTCCCACTTCATTGTCGGTTGCTGTTTAGTTGTTCTTATTAGCCTATCAAGGGCCTAAGGGACTTAGGGTCAGGCTGTTTTCCAGCCTGTTTCATGTAGTTATTGGTTAGGTTTGTTCTTGTCTTTTCCGGGCTAGCTGGTTACTCGCATACTCTGTTGTAGGCTCTGCCTCTTGCTCGCAATTCTTGGTTGAAGAGCACATAATCCTCCGTAGCCTGAATTATGTACCTTTTACAAACCATGAACATATCCCACGAATGGATTAGCTAACTGCCACATCATGTTAAAAATAAAATATTAAATGCTTCTTTAAATTTTATATTAAAACTTTTCGTGTCAATTGCGAAGTTCTTGGATCTTGGAATTGTTGTGTACATTAGCCTGCCACATTGTTTCATGCATAGTTATGTGTAGCTTCTTTGTTTAGGATGATAAGCTTTGTCAGGGATTGGTGGTTCAGTGATGTCAGACAATTGTTCCTTTTGTTGGTTATCTTTTATAAGTTCCTTACTGAAGTTCCTTTTTAGATGGTGATCATGCTGTAGAATTTTGGCTTGGTGTCTTTTTTATTTCCTTGCCATGAGCATTGCATTATAAGTAAGGTTAGGTAAAATAGTGTCTCAGAGCCTTTTGTCGTTGAGATTGGTAATTAAACTAATTATATTAACATTCGCATCATAGGTCAAAGTGTGCAATGGCATGAATTATAATTGAATGAGGATGTGGTTTTATCTACGTTCTTTACTGAAAGCTAATGGTTGCGTTTATCGATAGGAGAGACTTTCCTTCCAAAGGATGATGTGAAATTTGTTTCTACTTGCTTGAAATCTCTACATCAGGTCAGGTCGTGAAAATGACGACTATGCAATCACTGCATCGAGCGTCTTAGACTGAGTAGTTGTTTCCCTGTGCTTCAAATCCGTACATTGTGATGTTTGGCGTCATTTTTAGAAATATGAATGCTAATTGATGTTTGGCCTTAGAATGTGTCACAATATGAATAATAATGTCTTCAGATGCTGCAGCACAACTTCTAATTCTGGCTACAACATATAAATTGGTGAGATTTCTAGCCTGCAAACAATCTCAATTTCTTAGCATTCTATTATTGTATAGAAATAGAAGTTCTATGCGCATTATGGAATCCAAAAGTAGAAGAAAAAGGAAGTTCCTTAAATTAAAACGTGATCTTTTACTTTAATTTCTCCCCACCCCGCAGTTTCTTTTAGATGACATTGTTGTTTATGTGCTTTCTGCCCAAATAACATTTGTATATATTCAACTTTTGTGGCCTTTCCTTTCATTTTCCTGTGTGTATGCAGTAGGTTTATGTTTGGTTTAATTTAAGTTCACGGGTTGACCTACCTTTCCTAAATGATCATGTACCAGGTCTTCGTTTGGTATGTTTCGCAAAAAATTCTCGCTACGATATTAATCCTTATTTCATGGTTATTGCGTATTTTAAAGGTAATGGAACAACTCAAGGTTGATTACTAATAAGAAAATATTACTGAAAAGGTGTTCTTGCATGCTGAACAAGAGGAATTTTGTCAACTCTGCATTGATGCCTGATGAGCAGAATTGACGATCAATCTCTATCTCTGCCTCATCTCCTCTGAGGCCTGACAGATCGATGGGCACAAAATGGAACAGGTCAGTCTTGCTTTTTTGTTTTGCTTGATCTATTTCATTCTTTCGCGAGTCTTTAAATATGGAATTTGGTTAGGGTTTTTACTTAGATTTTTTGCTTCGAGTTGTTGCAGTATACAGCTGTCTATCCATTTCATATGCTTTTGTTGTCGGGGAGGATAGAAAGAACCTACATAAACTGTTAAGCAGCAGGCATGACAAGGAAGAAGGAGCCAACATCGACCTGGTTGGTGCCGATTCAGATTTGAAGCAAGCCCATTTTGATTCATGGTGTCCATTCCAACTTTCTTTGGTTATGCAATAATGTGGGGTAGGAAGGTACGTTCTGCTTATAATGGCCGCCAACAGTATAGGTTATTTGCTTTGTATTTTTATTACCTTGGGATTTATGGTTCGTCCATCTGCTTTGTTATTTCTGTTTGTAGCCGGCCAGTTCAATGTCTCATCAAGGGTGCTGGGAACTATGGATTTGGAAGTAGAGCGATGGATAACTCACTTATGTGCGAATTCATTCGTTCTGGTTTCGACTTGGATCAATACAGCGGGGTAGAAGCGATTAGAGTGGAGGTTTCATACACCATGGAGATGGAACTCGCAGGTTTTATTGCATTCCAGCTGGATAATGGAAGTAATTGGGAGTCCTGAACTGTCTCATGCAGGTATCTGATGATGCTTACCTTTTCTTCCTTTCCTGTTTCAACTTATGTAATCATAATGGATTTGACTTGTGTTGCTTCTACTTTCACCTTAATGGGTTGACATGGATGGAGGTTAGAACAAGTGCCTTCTGTTGCTATAATCATGCTTCCAATTGCTGCATTCATCTTTCTATCTACCATTGTTCTTTGCTATATTCAAAATAGAGGTCTCTTAACAGTCTCGGTTGATTTAGAAGTTGTATCCCTAAGTTCTATATATGTCAATCAATACTCGGTGCATTCAAAGTGAACGAATATAACATACTGAAATCTTTGGGATTTCCATTTTCTAAACTAATCTTTGTTGTTTGCAGGAGTATAAAGAAGATGATGAACTCTCACCAGCAAGTGGGAACTATGAATTTCTGTACCAGTTGATGTTGCTAATAAGAAGATAATTTCCCAGCTCATCATCAGTTTGTTATTGCGCATCCAGGTGAGTATACGCTTTTTGTACAAAACTTTATATAATGCCAACTATGCTTCTTGAAGACTGACCTGATGGTTGATGTTTTAGAAGGCTGCTACTGTTATTTGCTTTGTGATATACATGCAACAAGTTAGAGCAGTGAGCTATGTATTTGTAATTTGCTAACTAAAATTGGTTGATGGCGACACTTTCCATTATGAAGTGGGTGTGTTCCATCATTATTATTAAGGGGCTTTTGTCCTTGGGAGTCAGATGCCATTTATGGATCTTCACAACGCCTTCTTGCTTGCCCTATGATTAGAGTTAGTTTTCACCCAATGCTGCTTTTAGTCAAAATTCATTATCTGGAAATGTATTAGGTAATTACATCAGATGAAACCTCCTGATTTATGAGCCATGTTGGAACTATGCGTTTCTTGGCCACTATCTGGTCAAAATAATCTCTAAACTCATCTTAAACTTTCCTCATTGTACTCAAAATCATCGATGTTGTCTTCTCTAATTGCAACAAGTATTTTTGAAAAGTCGATACGACTTTAACTGCTTCCTTTCATGCGAACGTTTCCGAAGGTGTTGAATCACCCTCTCCTTCATCATCAAGTGAACTCTCAATGACGTCGACTACTATTTCTTTTAAACCTTGTGTCTCGATTCATTGATCACTTTCACCCGGTTACTTTAAAAAGTAACAACTGACTTGCATCCATCTTGTTACGATAACCCATACCATTAATTATATCCACAAGTTCATTAACATCTTCGTCAAAATTTATTTCACTTGAGTCGGCTTCATCCCTATAAGGCATATTTTTAAAAAGTCAAGTCTATTAGAAGTTCATCTTAAACTTTCCTCATTGTACTCAAAATCTGCAACAAGTATTTTTGAAAAGTCGATGTGACTTTAAATGCTTCCTTTCATGCGACCGTTTCCGAAGGTGTTGAATCACCCTCTCCTTCATCATCAAGTGAACTCCCAATGACGTCGACCACTATTTCTTTTAAACTTTGTGTCTCGATACATTGATCACTTTCACCTGGTTACTCTAACAAGTAACAGCTGACTTGCATCCATCTTGTTACGATAACCCATACCATTAATCATATCCTCAAGTTCATTAACATTTCGTCAAAATTTATTTCACTTGAGTCGGCTTCATCCCTATAACGCATTTTTAAAGCAATTTGCTATCGTCCCTTGATGAACGCCCTACGTCCAAGATGCGACTCCAAGATTCATAGCATCTAAGACATTAATCATTTCCAAATTCGATAACTCTAATTCGAATCCCTCCAATACCTTTCGGTAAAATCTCTTGCGGTAAAACACCTTAGAGGATCTTATTATTCCGCATCAAGTGAAATTAATAATTTTAACTATATACAATATAAAAAAAACTTTTTAATTAATAAATTATCAATAATTTAATAATTACTATAAATTAATAGTTTTCATGATCCCGACTATATTAATTTACAGAGGATTTACTGTAGTAGGGTAGCATTGTCAAAGCTAATTAGGTTTAGAACACAGTGGATATATAAGACCAAACTAAACTAGATAAATTAGGAAGTTCGTGCATTTATGTTTAATTTGATTCGTTTCAATTCAGTATGCTAATTTGAACGTTAAAAAATAAGATTTGTTCACTATCGACGAACTATTTGCGCATCCTACTAATCTGATATTGATTACAAATTGACAATTAAAACTAATTTAAAAGTGACATTTCTATTGACAAACTGATACGTGCAATCGAGATAATGAACATATGAACAAGATTTTTATAACAGAACCCAGTAAGAAACATCCATTCACGAGACTAGTACAAATTACAGAACACCAACAAGGACTACACATCGATATATCATCGTCTTTTTATAGATAAGAATTAATGATATAGATTTATTTTCCATTATTAAGGTGCTACTTAAGAAATTCGAACTTACGATATTTAAGACCAGTGATTGTATCACCAGACCAAATCCTTTCTCGTATAGATACGGCTGCTGCTGCTCAAGCTGAAGCGACCTGAGTAGCATGCTTCTTAATCTTCGCCACCAACGCGTCCCTGTCGGCACCCAGAACCCTGTCCACGATCTTGCCTTCCTTGAAGAAGAGAAAGGTTGGCATGGCTTCCACATCAAGCTCCACAGCAACACTCTGTCAAAACACAGGGAAAATCACACAAAAAAACACATCAAGCTCCACAACAACACTTCTTCTTCTTCTTCTTTATGTACACTAGTTTGATGTTGCCATGTTGGACCGGAATGGCATTTGAATACAATGTATTCACGATGTGTGTTTTAAACTTTTCAAATGATTTGAAATGCTTAATTTCATACGGTGAAATCAAAATTATTCTTTCAATTTTTGAATTTCGGATAACTTTTTTATCAATGTTAAATATTGTACTCTAATCTTAATGGTTATAAGAGTCGTGAATAACTATTCACGACCTGTCTATTTAATGATGTAGTAACTTAGTTGTCTATGGTTGAAAATAAATTTGACGTAACAAAAAAAGAGTTTGTCTAAAAAAACATAGCATAAATAGAAACACATAATCATAACATTTAGCCAATATTTTTTTCTTTTGCTTCAGAAACAGTACATATATATCAATACTAAACACTAAATAACAAAATTAGTAAGAAAATATCAATTCATCATCCATACTCTATGCAATCATAAAATATTTGTCAACTAACATGCTCAAACCTTAAGTTGAAGGACAATCTAATTCTCTCGACAAAAATAGCATATCTTGTGTTACTCACCCTGCTAATGAATATAACTACATAATGCATCCATGAAAACTTTAGCCATGCTTCATTATTAGCATATCTTGTGTTACCCACCATGCTAATGAGTATAACTACATCAATGCATCCATGAAAACTTTAAGCCTGGTTCATTATTTATCTTATTCTATTGTTATTTTCTATTGAAACAAATAACTCTGAATGATACATATGGTTAATTAATATTTAATCAAAATATGAAAATTAAAATATCAATCACCAAAGAAAATACTTACACAGAGTTAGCGGGCTAGCTAACGGTGGTGGAAAACTCATATGTTTTTTAGATTTCAGGTTTTTGTATTTCTTTAGTTTAAAAAGATAAAAACATTTCATTAGTGTAATTGGTAATTATTGTTATCTTTGTCTGAAGACACCATGTTTTAGATTCCAAGACTGATGTATTTTTTTCCTTAAAAATAACCATGAAAATTAAAATATCAATGGCAGCGCGAGTGTGAAGTGTGAACATTGGCGTTTTTAGGTACGGTGGGATAATGGAATCTCGGTGTCGGCTAGCTTTCTTATTTGGCTCGTAGGTCGTCCCTGTGGATTTTGGAGGAGTTCGTCAGCGAGATCCCCTTTTCCCTTACCTTTTTTTTTTGGTTAATACCTTATTTTGGCCCGAACTATGACCATATAATCAACTTTGGCCCGTGGTTTCAGAAATTAACATCCTGGCCTCAACTATGCAGCATATAGACTCAATTGGCCTGACACATAGTTTGACCGTCAATTTGGACGGTCAACTCCGTTGACCGTTAGTCAACATGCCATGTCATTGCCTAGTCAGCCTAAAAATGATTAAAAAAATTTAAATTCAAATTATTTTCCTAATTTCTATTATTTATCATTTTCCAATTAACCAAAAAATAAAATTCTAAAAAATATAAAATAATTTTTTTGTGATATTTGAAAATGATAAATTTTATAAATTAACCAAAAATTATCAAAATAAATTTTATAAATTTAAAAATTATGATATAAATTATATTTTTGTGGGAAATTTTAAAAATATAAAATAATTTGATAATTTTTATTTAATTCATAAAAATTATCATTTTTCAAATTATCCCAAAAATAAAAATCAAATTTATTTTATGTTTTTTATAATTTATTTTTGGTTAATTTGATAATAAATAAGAAAATTTAGAAAAATAATTTGAAATTTGCATTTTTTTAATGATTTTTAGGCTGACTAGGCAATGATCCGTTGACCGTCCAAATTGACGGTCAAACTATGTGTCGGGCTAATTGAGTCTATATGCTGCATAGTTGAGGCCAGGATGTTAATTTCTGAAACCACGGGCCAAAGTTGATTATATGGTCATAATTCGGGCCAAAATAAGGTATTAACCCTTTTTTTTTCTTGGAAAGCTATCTCATAAAATTGAACAAGCAGTGGGTGATGAATTGTGGAAACCTTTGTCCCTTTCAAAGGATGGGCCAAAGATATCGCACCTGTTTTTCGTTGAGGATTTGATTTGATTTGCAGAGGCGGAGAGCAAGCAGGTTGATGTAATGAAAGCTTGTTTAGAGGATTTCTGTTCGAGCTCTGGTTAGAGGGTGAATCTCAACAAATCAGCTAAGTTTGTTTCGCCAAACATGCATCGAAACAGAGCTCAACGTCTCAGCTTGCGTGCGAGCATTAAACTTACGACGGATTTGGGCAAGTATCTCGGTCTTCATGCGATCAATGGAAGAGTCTCGACAAGTAGATACAAGGAGCCGCTCATTAGAATTCAATACAAACTAGTTAATTGGAAAACTAAGAATCTTTTTGTGGCTGCCCGTATCACACTAGTGAAATCGGTTGCTTCTTCCATGATTGTTTATCCGATTTTACAGAATCTCTTCCTTACACTCTTTGCAAGTCCCTTGACAGGATCAATAGACGCTTCGTCTGGGGTGAGGAAGATGGGAAGACTAAGTTCCACCCGGTGGCTTGGGATTAGATAACCCTCCCTCACAATCAAGGGGGGATAGGTATTCGACTGAAAAAGCTTGCAAACCAGGCCATGTTAGCAAAGGGAAAGTCAAGTGAAGGATCCTTAGGAGCAAATACGGAAAATCAAGTGAAGGGCTAAGAATTCTATATAAGAAAAAGGGAGATTCTTACTCTTGGTGCAGCTTCTCCCAAACTGCAAATCTTTTGCGCAAATGTATGGCTCGTAAACGTTAAAAATGGTAAAAAGACTAGCTTTTGAATTGATCCTTGGATTATGCAGGAGATTGGGTGAGTTTCTTCTCCCTGGTCGCTTGATACATCTGGAAGACAAGGAATTCTAACGAGGACCACCTAGATCAATTATGTTATTTCTAAAGCTCGAGATTGGAGCAGAACTTGGGAGGGTCTCTACACATCACCGAGAGGTAGAGTCAGCCTCAAGCAAAGCATTTGATAAGCTTGTTTCTTGTCCCAGACCCTGTTTCTCGTCCTCTGTGTTTACTTCGTTTGCTTTGTTTTCCCCCGGATCCTGCGTGTGAGCAGCTTCGCCCGTGATCTGATGTTATTGTTCTGGTTTCCTTTGGCTTCCACCCTCCTCTTAGTAAAAAAAAATAGATATGTTCACTGGTAACAAAACATATTGTCATCCACTCACCCTGCTAATCTTTAATATATTCCAAATTTACAATCAAGACCTTGATGGAGATTGGTTTGACATTTAAAAGGGACCTCTGCATTGACAAATTGTATAAAATTATGAAACAAGGTTATTTCATAACAGAACACTGTAAGAAATATCCATTCACCAGATTAGTACAGATTACAGAACACCAACAAGGACTAGAAATCCATAGATAATCATCATTATCAGTCACGGAACAGAAGATTCACAAATCACACCAGTACTTGATCAAACATATAACAACCACTGATGAAACAGAGAAACAACTAGATAGAGCCTCCCGTTCCATTTTCCCTACTGTTGCGAGCTGCTCAAGCTGAAGCAACCTGGGTAGCATGCTGCTCAATCTTCGCCACCAACTCGTCCTTCTTGGCACCCACAACCCTGTCCACGATCTTGCCTTCCTTGAAGAAGAGAAAGGTTGGCATGGCCTCCACGTCATACTTCTCAGAAACACTCTGCCAAAAAACAGGAAGATCACACAATTGCCCAGTTCAGTAATCATTCTCAGAAACATTCTACAAAGTCAATTGAAGTTGCGGGTTTACGAGACTCTAGTAGGAGTTGGTTTTATTTGCCACTTACAGTCAGATTATCAACATCAACCTTCAGGAATATGACGTGAGTCATCTTCTTGGCTAGATCGGCCAGAATTGGAGCAATGAAACGGCATGGCGGGCACCAGGTAGCAGTGAAATCCACCACAGTCTGGCCGAAAAGCAACAATCAAAATCAATAGCCCATAAGGAAAAGGATGATGCTTCGTGAAAGAACTAAAAAGCCCCATGAACCCAATTGGGGGAAAGTGAAAAATCAATCAATTTGAAGACGAAATCATCAGTTTTGACCCAATGAGCAACGAGAATCCACATCGGGAAAACGAAGCCAAGCTAGGTCAAACCCTTTCCCTTGACAAAATTGGCAGGCTACTCAAGAACCCCACCTAAATTAGATCTACAGAAGCTTAAGAACACAGATGGAGCGAAATTTACCAGTTTCTTTGACTCGCTAGCCTTGGTGAAGATATCGCTCCAGAGCTCGACGGTTTGGCATTCAGTCACCAGTCCTTCTTCCGCCATTCTTTATTTCCTTCTTCTTCCTCTGTCTGACCTTGGAATCTAATTCGAGAGCGCAAAGATATTCCCTTTGGCGTTTGTTCTACGAACAATGATGATTGATGATCCACAAAATCGCTGGGAAATTGAATGCTTTGGTCTGACCAGGCCGACCCGATTATATAGTCAGCCTGGTGGATGTGTATTTACAAATTCGTACCCAGGGATAGATGTAAATTACGGGGGTGTGCCACTTTTCGGGATCTGGTTCGAAGATTGGGGCGTGGACACGACGCCAGGGAGACGCGCCGAATACGCGGGTGATGTATTGCAATGCGTCACGGGGAAGACACGCGCCACCAAGCCGCGGGAATCTGGTGCGCCGGCGGGAAGGAGAGTGGTGCCACATTCAGTGCCAGCGCGCGAGTGTGAAGTGTGAACGCGGGCATATTTAGGTACCGTGCCGGCGGGTTTTCTTGCTTGGCGCGTGTGTTCTCCCCACGGATTTTTGGATTTGCTGTTTAGCCTGAATTCGAACGTGTGGATATCACGACAGCTGCGAAGAGTTTGGCCATGAGGCTGGATCTGGGCCTTTGGTGGATCAAATAGCAAAGGTTATGACCCGTTCAAGCTGGATTCCCCCAGACTCAGGCCCAGTCCCCAGAGATAATTGGTAACTTAACTCTATGCTAAATTGCAAGTTTGATAACTGGAATTACAAAAATATTTCATGTTTGTTACTAATATTATTTTATTTTATCTGTAGTCACTCAAATTAGTCACATAGTCACCATCCCAAATTCTTTCCTTTGACGAAGTTTTTAGCCACTTAATGATCTGGGCAAATAAGATGTATATAGAAGGTTAAAAACACAGATGGAGCTACATTTAGCGAAGTGATCCTTTCAGACCTTGTCCTTCCTCCGCCATTGTTTCTTCTTCATCATCTTCTTCCGGTTAGAGCTTTCAATATGATCGGAGAGCAGCCCATAAGAGTCTGGTTGACAATGTTATAAAACAGTTGATCTCAATAACTCGAGTTGTTGAATGAATGTTAATTATGACCAATTTATGGGTGATGATTACAGAGAGTCCAAACATAAATTGTGATAGGACAAAACAAGACATCTTATTTGGTCACGTGTTTATGATAGAATCCTCTCGAAGACTATAACTAATAAAGTTGGTTTTCTTTTTTAAGAAACTAATAAAGTTGGTGTAGGTGAGTAAATGTGTCTTGTCTTTGAGTTTGTGAGACGAGAACATCTCTAATTACAGACTACAAAGTGGACTGGGGGTGCACTATAATGTGCGGTGTCTAATGAGCAAACTAAACGAAATCCAAATAACAACGAAAAGACAAGACACCCTATTTAGGAGGGTGAAAGTTGTTCTGATCCGTTCTTGATTCTGTCTGACCTGTTCCTGAAGGGTCAAGATGTATAACTGACCCGTTCCTGTCTTCTTCTTATTCTTGTCTGGCCCTCAAGGGATGTGACGGGTCAGGTCAGTGGGTCGACCCTAATCTAAACACTAATTTGTTTACAAATTACATTTTGGTACCCAATATTATTTTTTCTTACAATTTAGTACCTAAAGTTTATTTTTTTTACAAATAAGTCCTGAAAATTTGGTGGTAAAATTACATTTTGGTACCCAAATTTTTTTAATTTGCAATTTAGTACATAAACTTTTAAAACTTTTACAAAGATGTCCAATGTGGTATGAGATATTTGTTGTTGCTAAGGGTCACAGGATCAAAAAGTGACCCGTCCCTATGTTGACCCGACCCGTCCCGACCCTTATAGGGTTAAAAGCTGACGCGTCCCTAAACTGACCCTATAGACAAACTGACTCGTTCCGACCCTCAAAGACGGGAGGGGTCAGAATGGGTCAGTGGATTTTTAGGGTCACACTTACACCCCTAATTTAGATGGTAGTTCCAATTACTGATCTTATTCAGCTTAATTCGACTCTTGTTCTTATAACCCTAACCACCGTACATCCTTTGTATGACAGGACCAAAACACGATCATTAAGGTCCTCAGTATGACCCTCTAATACAAATCAATGGATCAAACATGGGCCAAATAGGTATAGGATCAAACACCAACCGCTCTAACATATGTTGTTCAAATTTTATAAGTGGTGTTTTTGATTTTTCAATATGTTACGGGTAAGATACGTGCCTTGATATTGGGAGAATATGTTGTCATCTGCGAGTAGGATTAGTCGTGCCACAACACAGTGAGCTCGCCGGTTGTTAGATATAGTTTTCGTTGAAAAATTTCGACCAACTTGCAACTTTTCATCGATATAATGAGTGAAAATGTGAAATATATACTTGGTGAGTACGTCTTTCACCAATTTTATATCAGGATAAGTTTAAATTTATACTGATATAGAAGAAAAAAAATAGCTAAGGTTTTTTGTTGTTGTACTGATATAGAAAAAATTGAAGATGACAACATCTACCACTCTAGATTTGTAACTTGTGACCTAGACTCGAACCATTCAAAAAATCCTAAGGGTGGATTATCGAGCGAGCTGCCAAAGTTTTATAATGGGCTGGGCCTCTGACAAAAATTTGGCTGGACCTAGCCATAGACGAATCAATTGCAAAGCCCAAGGCCATCCTCCGCAATTATTAACGATCGTTGGGAGTTTTAATTAAATTCTATTTAAACGCTCGCTGTTTGAGATTAATTTCGCAATTATTATAGCGAGGAGCAAATTTGCCAAGTTAGACCGCTCGTAATTTAACATTTATCACAACTCCCACGTGGAAAATTACAAACCACACCCCAAAATATTCGCTACCCCACCACATGGTCCCTGTCTCTCATATTATCCACATCTTCCTCTCCGCTCCTCCACAAATCTCAAAACCAACCCACTCACCGCCAAAAGAGATTGAGAGAATCTCTCCGCCGTCGGCGAAGCCACAACAACGGCGGCGCTTCTCCATCTTCATTCTGTCTAATTAGCCGCCGAATCCGATTCCTCCACTTCATTCCTTTTCCTAAAATGGCTCTACTTCAGCTCATTTCCACTCACCAACCATGCTTAAACCTCAACTCCGCCGCCGTTACCGCTTCCCTGTGCCCTAATTCCAATTTCCCTTCCAATTCGCCGCCGTTCCTCCACTTCTGCAACAACCAGCGGCGCCGGGGGAGGGCGAATTCGTTGAGATGCTCTTCCTCCTCGTCCTCCTCCGAGAAGAGTCACACGAGCCAGCCGAGACCCGACGACGTCGTCGAGCTGCCGCTCTTCCCTCTCCCACTGGTTCTGTTCCCCGGTGCGATTCTGCCTCTCCAGATCTTCGAGTTCCGCTACCGCATCATGATGCACACGCTGCTCGAGTCCGACCTCCGATTCGGCGTCATCTACTCCGACCCCGCCACCGGCACGGCGGAGGTCGGCTGCGTCGGCGAGATCGTGAAGCACGAGCGCCTCGCCGACGACCGGTTCTTCCTTATCTGCAAAGGCCAGGAGAGATTCCGCGTCGCCAAGGTGGTCCGCACGAAGCCGTACCTGGTCGCCGGCGTGCGGTGGCTGGAGGACCGCCCCTCCGGCGAGGAGGACGTTGAGGCTCTGGCCTCGGAGGTAGAGGCGTACATGAAGGACGTGATTCGGCTGTCCAATCGGCTCAACGGGAAGCCGGAGAAGAAGGAGGCGCAGGACTTGCGGCGGAATTTGTTCCCGACCCCGTTCTCGTTCTTCGTCGGGAGCACGTTTGAAGGGGCGCCGAGGGAGCAGCAGGCGCTGCTGGAGTTGGAAGACACGGCGGCGAGGTTGAAGCGGGAGAAGGAGACTTTGAGGAATACCCTAAATTACTTGACCGCCGCTTCTGCAGTAAAAGATGTGTTTCCTTCGGCCTGAAATCCAGATTGCTCGAGGAGGAAATGCTCTAATATGGGATTCGAATTGCAGGTATACAGGGGCAACAATTGTGTAACCCAAAAGGTGAAATTTTGGCCGCCGTTCTTAGTGTGATAGATGTCGCAATTGTTGCACACTGTTTATAGAACTGGATAAGTTTGCACATAAATGAAGAAAAAGCTTAGCTTCAAACTCCATTATTACTACTCTGTGTGCTCTTGCTTCCTGGTGGCTTGAATCTGCTTGTATTTTGGTGAGGGGGATGAAGAAAGATGAACTGGGTTCTGGTTAAATTTTGAAGCTTGGTTCTATCTGAATATGGCGCATGATCTGTGTGTTGTTCTCATCTCCTAACCTCTGTTACTCGAGCTTCTCAGCAGAGTTACAGTTTGCAAGAAATAAAAACATCAACTCTAAAAGCTTCTCTATCCATACCAATAAAACAAGCAGCAGCAGTGGTTTTGGTTTGCCCTCCATCTGATGATGTGCAGCAGCATCAATATTGAGCTTTCCATCAATCACGAACATGCTAAATTCTAGCTCAATCCTCAGTCCAACTCTCGGCCATTACCTGATCACTTTGTATGCACACACACCAGCTTGCAATCAGCTAACCAAACTGCAGATACTAATGGTGCAATGTCCTCCCGAATATTGTTTTCAATCTTCACGATCACGAATCTGATATCTTTACCCATTGTTCTTGCATTGAGCTTTCAGATCTCTTGCCATCAAAACGCCCAAGAAGAAGACATAGACAAGTCATGAAAGACATCCTAGCCTCAACTTGGTATTCCTCATATTACAGCATTAGCTCATCCCATTGTTGTGGCAATCTACCCTTCTACCATTTAGCTCCTCACCAAACATCTGCAATGTTACTGTTCTGCCGAGAGTTGATTGCATCTGCTCTGTGTACTATCCAACACCATGTCAATGTCATCACTGGTGCACTTCTTCCATTCTTCTATTAGATTCCTGAGGTGGCAGTAGTCTTGATTTCAGCATGGCAATCCATTCATCAGCCATTACGTGATCCACTTTGCCCACGTAAACAAGCCAGTTAAACAAAGTCTGCTCCCTCTTCGTTTCAAATTCTGTTATTTGTATTCTCAACAATCTACTCATTTAAACAAATCACCATTTCAATGGAGTCTAAAGGTTTCGTATCAGTCTCATTTACCGTAAAGGATTCGAGTTCATCTGAACTCGATTTTTTACAGAACAATGATGAGCTCAGCTGCCAATTACAAGAGGATACTCGCCTGAAAGTATGTAGGTACTCTCACTACAATGAGAAAGTGGGATTCCAGTGTCTTAACTACTACTTCTACAACCCTAAAACAGCAACTCGATAGAGAAAAAAACCACTCTCAGAAGGCAGAACCTACTCTACATAATCCAATCTGCAACCAAGCTGCTCCAACTCCCAACCTTGGACGACCTTCTCGCATCAACAACCTGCATTATCGTGCCATTCCTCATCGTCTGCACCCACAGAAAGGTAAAAGGATCAGAGTCTAAACATCTGCTTATAGAAAGTAATAAACACAGTTCCTTTCTCCGTTTCGATGTCTATTAGTGTTACTCACCTTAAGGCATAGGTTTTTAGTAGTGTCACACACTGGATAGTCCTGAGGGCAACAGTGAACCTTGTCCTTACAACAGACAGCTGAATTCAACTCGCAGCACTTCCACCGGAAACATATCCCCAGAAACCGGAACGAGCAGCAGCAAGTCTCCCCTGCTCCGCAGCTCGTAAAGATGTCACATTTCGTAGGTCCTGGGGATGGCGGTGCAGGTGGGTTCGGTCCGTTCTTCACAGGATAAGAAGCCAGCATGTTGATCCCACACACCCCTCGCGAATCCCCGGTGTTTCGCGCCATGTAGATGTACCCTTTCATTCCCCATTGCGTCCCCCACGAGTTCTTGGCTATCCAATAGTCCACCCCATTCTCCGAACCATACCCTACAATGAGTATAGCATGATCCAGAGAAGTCGAACACGGGCCAGTGAAGATCCCCTTGGAGTAGAGCTGGAACGCTCGGTCGCTGCCACAGACACCAACGCTGACCGGCTGTTTCGCAACAGCACTCTTCAGAGCTAGCTCGTCGCCTGGCCTGACGTCGATGTAGTCGTCGATCGTCACAAACCGCCGGTTCAGCTTCTGCTTGTTGCAGGTTCTGTCTTTGGCAAGGTATGGGTAGTCTTCTTCGGTGTCGATTCCCTTGTTGTTGATCACGAATTGGAATGCATAGTCCATCAGGCCGCCCTCGCATCCGCTGTTGTAGGATTTGTCGCAGTCGATTAGCTCTTGCTCGGAGAGGCTTGTGAGTGATCCCGTTACTATCTTGTTAATGCCTTCCATGGCTCCTGTGGCCGAGAAGGACCAACAAGCACCTAGAAACAAAAACAGAGCTTTTCAGTTTAAATGATGCTTAAAGAGGAAATTTCAAAATTTCGTCAAACCTGCTGATGTCTGGTAATGGCAAGAACAAGAATAATTCAAGCAGTCGATCAAATCCTACTACCAAGTACCAAACTACTAACCAAAAAAGGGGGGAAATATTAGAGAAGCTAAAACCCCAATTATTTGTCAACAGGGACTCACCGCAGCTGCCTTGATCCTTAACATTGGTGACAGCGCCTTGCTGCCTCCAATCCACCGCCGACGGAACATCGCCGACGAGCCGGCTGACTTTCCGGCGGTTCACCCGATCGAAGGCAGAGGAAGCAGAGAGGCCCAATCGGGAGGTTTTGAACTCCTCGTGGGTGAGATCGGCGAAGGCATTGAGATCAAGGGAGTAAAGGGTAGTACCATTATTCCCAATCTCGTTATGCTTCTTGACGAATTCATAGTTATCGGAGAACACTTGTCTCCTGTACGACTTCTCTTCTTCGGAGTGATACGACTTGCCGTGCTCCCTGCACCAGGCCTCGAAGAGAAAAGAAATTTCCGAAGAAGAAGAAGAAGGGAGGAGGTGGGAGGAGAAAATGAGCAGGGGAAGAAGGAACCCAGAAAGGGGATTCATGTCTATGGAGCTGGGAAAGGGGAAAGTTTCGATCTTTCTGGCCTTTTGGGTAGTGGGTTCTGTTCCCTTTTCTGGATTGGATGCGAGAAACTTGGGTAATAGACTGATGACCGAGCTAAAAGTGGCTAATTATGGGAGGACAGATGGTTCTTCTTGGTCTCCCTTTCTTTAATGAAAAGGTGTCACTTTGTGCTAATTCAACTACTCTGGGAAAACTTTTACATGTTGGACGAAGCTCCACGTTTGTTTTGCAGCGAGCTGCCCGTTCAAAACTGGAACCGGGAGTCATCATCATCAATCATCAATGGAGACTTCCAGTAGGTTTCGTATGATTTTGAAGGCAAATGGGAAGCAGTTTGATCCTAGTAATTCGCTTAATCGAACGATTATGGGCTTTGTAAGGACGGATTGGCGGACCTCTGTGAGAATGGAAAGCATGGCTTTGGTGGATCATACTTTTTGGGCTAAGAGCCCAAGTACAAGTGAACGACACGCGAGGAAATGAGTAAATGACAGAAAAGGGGGTCCGGATCCGGTGACTAAGGGGGGTCCTTAGTCACTTGACTAAGCCCCCTCAGCCTTTGGATTGATCTGATGGTCCAGATAAATATATTAGTTATTATTAAATGAGAAGGGCAGTTTTGGCATTATTATTAAATTATTTTCTATTTTTTGGTTTTGTTTTATTTATTATTATTGAATTCCTTTTTTCCATCTGCACGTCTCTTCTCTTTCCCGTTTTTGCAATGTCCAGAGAGAGAGAGAAGCCATGGCGGAGGAGGAGAGAGAGAAAGAGAAAGACGACGGCGCTACGCTGGAGGAAATCGCGACGGCGCCGACGACGGTGGAGGAGATCGCGATTTTTCCTCCATCCATCCTCTTCTGCGTTGCCATTGCAGGCCGTAGGAGAGAGAGAGAGAGAGAGAGAGAAGCAGCGGGGAGAGAAGGACAACGACGGTGGAAGAGAGGGGGGCGACGGCGAGGAGATCTCAACGACGACTCCGGCGACGATGGAGAGAGGGCAAGACGACTACGACGGAGGTAGTGGGTAGAGAGAGAAAGTAGATCTGCCCGTTGTCGGGAAAACAGAGGAGAGAGAGAGAGACGATAGTTTGTATAGTTTGTATGTTTTGTAACATTAGTTTGTATGATTTGTATAGTTTGTATGTTTTATAACGTTAGTTTGTATTGTTAGTATTTTTGTACAAAATGTCAGTATGGTTTGTATAGTTTGTAACATTAGTTTGTACTCTTAGTATGTTTTTCTTTGACAGTTTGTACTCTTAGTATGTTTTTCTTTGACAGTTTGTATTCTTAGTATGTTTTTCTTTGATAGTTTGTATTCTTAGTATGTTTTGCTTGTATTCTTAGTATGTTTCGCTTTGTATTGTAAGTACTAATAATTTGTATACTTTATATGTATTGATTTGTGATGCAAAAAACATTACAAACATGGTTGACAAAAATGACAAACATGTGGACAAAAATAACAAACATTACAAACAATACAAAAGAAACCAACAAACATTACAAACATTACAAAAGAAACAGTACAAAGCATACTAAACGTACAAAATATCACTACTAACAATACAGATTGATAAACTTGTATTACAAACAAATGAATACAAAGTATACAAATCTTAACATAAAAGTATACAAACTAGAGCAACAAAAATTACAAATTACAATATATACAAAATAGTCATACAAAGATTACAAACAATACAAAAGAAACCAACAAACATTACAAAATAACAAAGCGTACAAACATTACAAAAAACCCGACAAACAGTACAAAGCATACTAAACGTACAAAACAATACAAAACATACAAACAGTACAAATCATAACATAAAGTATACAAACTGGAATGATGAAATTACGAAATCGTCGCCGCCACCAACAAATTGGCGATGTCGGTGTCTCTCTCCTCCTCAACCGCCGCTGCCTCTCTCTCCTCCACGGTCGTCGTCCCTCTCGTCCTTGTTCCTCGCCGCCGCCGTCGTTCCTCGCCGTCGTCGTTGTTCCTCGCCGCCACCGCCGTCTCTCTCTCTTCTCCTCTACCGCCGCCGCTCTCTCTCCTCTACGGTCGATTCGCCTCTCTCTCTTCTCCTCTACCTCCGCCTCCCTCTCTCTCCCCCGAACACAGAACGCCATCGACCCGCCGTCTTCCTTCGCCGTCGTCGTCCCTGGCCACCGTCGTCCTTCGCCGCCGTCGTCCATGGCCGCCGCCGTCTCTGTGAATTCATCTCCGCGTGCGACAAACAGGTGAGGGAAGGTATCTTTTCTTTTTTTTTTATTTACAAAATTAAAATGTATAATTACCATGTTGTCCTTCCTTAAAATAAATTAATTATAGCCTTAGGATTTTAATGAGCATGGAAGGCTGAGATTAACTTAGCCAAGTGACTAAGGGTACCCCTTAGTCACCTGATCTTAACCCCAGAAAAGGGGCGCGTGACGGCGTGAGGGTCTGAGGGAGTAGCAGAGGTTGCGTCCGTCACGGTCACGGCGGGAGCGGCGGAAGAAGAGGGAGGAGACGGGAAGAAGTAGAGCAAGTCAGCAGTAGTGTGTAATCACTACAGTCCAGGAGCGCAGTGGAGATATCAGTAGCTAGCAATTAGCAAAGCAGCAGTCTCTCTATAGGAGATTTCGGAAGAATCGAGCAGTTCCCCTGACGACCCAAATCTCTAATACCTAACTTATAGCGACGGAGTCCACCCTCGCACCTAACTCCTCGCCCTGTCTCGCTTCCGCAGACACGCCATTCATTCATCGCTTAGCTCATCTCTTAGAAAAATTCACCCCCAGACACCGAAATTGTCCATTGTTCTCGATTTCTTTCCATTTTTGTTTCTGGGTTTTGACAAATTTGTCAACCTGGGTTCGCCGAGCTCCTCTTCATCTCCCTCAGCCATGGACGTTGATCCTCCTAACTACGACAACGTTGTGAGAATCTCTCTCTCTCTCTCTCTCTCTCTCTCTCTCTCTGAGAATCCTATTTGGATTGTATAATGGGGTTTCTGTGTTTTTTTGGATGTTGCGTTTGTATATGGAGTGCAGAATGAATTCGGGGCAACCTTTGTCTATGGAATGTGATTTTGAGCCCAAAAGTTGCTAGCTTTGGTCTCGAATGCCATTGGGGTTTCTTTCCCGAGCTCTGATTTTGGGGCATTGAGATTATTCCTTTCAACCATGTTCCTTTGGCCTTTGGATTTCTTGTTTTGAAATGGTGCTGGGTGTTTCTCGACTCTGAGGGCTTCCATTGAATGTCGGGTTAATGTCCTTATGCTTCTCGGTTTTTTTTAACAGACAATCAATGACAGTGATGTCCACAGTATTGTTCTTTCGTATTTGGTCCACAATTGCTACAGAGAAACGGTGGAGTCATTTGCTGCTGGCACGGGGATGAATCAACCCGCCGATTATCTTGAAGACATAGAGAAACGGAAAAGTATGTGGCAATAGTTGATTTTGCAATAGTTTACTTTAGATTCCTTTTCCATGGTTAGATACTTAGGTTGCTGCTTATATGACCGGTCAGTAGTTTCATATGTGGTTGTGAAATGGATACAAGGTGTACATTTCCACCGTATGCATTCATAGCTATCATCTTCCTTCCTTATTGTGCTATCTGCATAGTGATATGCAGATGTGGAATCTATTATGAGTAGTTTTCATGATCAATCATTCGAGATGTTGTCAAAATTTGCAGAAATTTTCCAGTGTGCACTAGAGGGAAATGCACTCAAGGCGATTGAACTGACTGAACAGCTGGCACCCGATCTACTAGAGAGCAACAAGGACTTGCATTTTGACCTCTTGAGCCTTCATTTCGTCGAGCTTGTCCGCTCAAAGAAGTGGTGAGTGAGTAGTACTATATGGAAATCCAATGTCCCCTAAATCAGAAGTTAGTACCTAAAATGTATAGTTACTTGTATTTGTAAAGCAATGAAGCCCTGGAATTTGCTCAGACCAAGCTGACTCCATTTGGGAAGGTGCAGAAGTACGTTGAAAAGCTTGAAGTACGTTCCTCTTTCCCATCTGAAGAATCACGATTAAGTTTTTCAATTTTGGTACCAAGTATAAATTGCTCTTGTTATGTGGCAGGACTTCATGGCGCTACTTGCGTATGAGGAGCCAGAGAAGTCTCCAATGTTTCATCTTCTCAGCTTGGAGCACCGTCAGCAAGTTGTCGACAGTTTGAACCGAGCTATTCTTGGTTTGTTCTGTTAGCTCGCTTCATCTATTTGCTTTTCCATATCAACATATTTATCTTAGTTGCTTAATTCATGTATGGTGAATAAATAATTCAGCACATGCAAAGCTTCCAAGCCACACTGCAATGGAGAGGTTGATACAACAGACAACAGTGGTCAGGCAACTGCTGAATCAAGATCACGCCAAGGTAAAGTTTAGGACTCATCCTTCCCTCTCTAGTCTCTTTTTTTCTACTATAGCACAAACTTGCAATGTCATTATGGCTCATGTCAAACCTCCACTTTGTAGGATGGGCATCCACCATTTGCTTTAAAGGACTTCCTCAACGGCTAAGCCTGTGTTATAAAGTGTTGGAATCATCGCGTTGAGATGTGACCACCGGTCTGTTAGCATGCTACTGCCACCAAATTGGTTTTGGTTTTTGGTTTGTGGGTATATATATAGACTATAGTCATTAGTCAGTCACCACCACGGTCTCACACGTCAGTGACAAGTTGCTCGGACAACTAGTTACGTTCTGCCGGAACAGACACTACTCAGTCTGGATTCAGCTTGACATACCTCTGTTTGATACTGGTTGATTGTTTAGTGAGATCAAAGACGGAAGCTTCAATCAGTCTTAGATGACTGGCATTTCGCATTTCTGTAGCTTGGAAATGAGTTTTCTTTTTTCCTTGGCTTGTAAGGATTCACTGTGGCAATGAAATTGCGAGAGGCTTTTCTGCAGTTTGTAAATCTATACTAAATATTATGGCTATTCAAAAATAACTTTTTGCCACATAAGCACTTGGTGAATGCACAAGTTGCCAAGGTGGACAATTTTTTTACAAACAAAAAACTATTTATTGATCTATTTATGAAGCTATCTCTCTCTTCTTTTAATAATTCTACTCATTTTTACTAAAATTAAAATAAGTTAATTTTTTAGGGAATATTTAAACAACCAAACACATACATAAGTATTCATCTTTTTTTTTTCAATTAAACAAACTATAAAGATGGAAACAGAGAGTGATATATCGTATTTGTTTAACCCAAGCTGATTAAATCTGATTAAGTAAATTTTCTACTCATTTTTACTACAATTTTATAATAAGTTACATTTTGATGAAGAAAAAAACACACACATAAATAATAATATTTTCAATTAAACAAAAATATAAACGATGGTCTAAGAGAAAACAAGCGTTTGATAATCAATCGACTTTGAGAAATGATCGATATGACTATATGTTTTTTTGCTATCAAACACTCACTTCTTTCTAATGTACATACCTATCAAATAAAACAAGTATAAATTTTATAGCAAAATGTTTGAATATAAACTTGACAGAGCAATAATTGTATTTGTTTAAAAAACTTCTTATTTATTTTGATTAAATAAAAACATATAAATTATTAATGCAAACTTTTAATTTGTTTCTGTCCCATTTCCCATTTTAATTGTCTCACTAGAAATAAAATCCAACTTTGAAAATAATAAATCAAGAAAGTATGTCAACCACCATAAAAATAAACAAAACCCTCTTATTAGTTGCTATTTTTTTTAGATCTCTAATATTTGTATTCTCATAATTTATAGAGAAGGAAATGGTAATGCACATGATTTTTTTCTTTGTATGAGAATAGGAGGCAGGAGTTACACGAGGCAAAGATTAGATGACAAAATTTTGAGCAGTTGTAACATATTTTTGCCTGTTAACGAAAAAAGTTCATCTGATCATTGTGAAGATGAGGTGAACCAAGCCGAGGGTTGTCGACTGCTCCCTCTTCCTCTTGATCTGAAGCTGGCAACTGGTCTCACTTTCTCAGCGATACGTTATTGTTTGCGGTTGACTGGCCGAGTTATACTCTTCTTCCATTCTTTTCTTAATTTCTTCCAAATTATAACTGCTGGATGGTAAATTTTCCCACTCTCGATGAGTGAATGTATTTCTTCTTTGTTTTTCAAGGAGAAGGGTTGTCATATACTTTTATTTAAATGTATAAAATATAATTAGAAGGGTTCATTGGTTGGACTTAGGGCATACCTCATTTGATTGAATAATTGATCGTTTTTCTTGAATGGCTATTGCAATTCGATTTCTTGAATGTTGAAATAGAAAGAAGAGTTGTGATGGTTGTTTATTATATTTTATGTTCATGATTGACATGCTACTAGCTAGCAATACAATGATGATCTGTTTAGTAATTAGTAGGTAGCAAAGAGGTTATAAGTAGAAGGGAACATAATTGGGGTTTTATAAAGGTCGCGAAGAAGAAATAAAATGATAATGGTGGTTTCTCGGTTGTCTATTTTGATGTTTTTTTAATTTCTACATGTTTGCGGTGACATTTGTTTGTTTCATTAAGGTGAATTTTTCCGCATTGAATCCCTAACTAAAGCTTGATTTTGACATGATTGTTTTCTTACAAACTACTATTTGAATTGATGCATATATTCAGTTCACAAATGAGGAATCTGCATGATAAAATGATTTGAGTTGCATTGAAAACTACTCCTTTCATTATTTTTCTATGTTGTTATTAGGTAAAATCACAATTCTTTTCTGCATGAGATATGTAGCTCTCTACAAAATATAAATAGTATTTAAATATATGTAGTTTAATTTGCGGAAAAATATTGCTTTAATAAGTTTGTGACAGCTGATAGTTTTGTTTGTGGTTGGTTTTTTAGAACATTTTAAGGTAATTAAACGAGTACATGGAAGATTGATGGACGTGGATGCTAATGAGTTTCCTCATTATTCCAAAGTTGTATGTGTAAGTGATAATACACGATATTCATGGGATTTAGATCGGAATATTCTCTATTATCGTATACCAACATATGAGAAGAGAGAGAAAATAAAAAGCTCTTCGCTTATTTTTTTTATTAATTGAAGCATATTTTCTTATTCTAACTTCTTCTTTTGTTGCTGTAAAATTTTTAACTTCTTTATCACAATTGTGTGCTAAAGAATGAATAACTCTTAAGTTTATAATCTTAAAGGGCGAGTTCGATAAAAAAAATTCTAAATAAATAAAGAACAATCTACAAAGAGCTCAGTTAATAAAATTAAAATGTTCATAAATAAACAAAAGGCATAAAAATATGAAACAATACTTGAAATAAGGTAAGTGGATCAATTCCATATATATTATCTTACCAAACATAAATAATAATAACAATTAGAATACTATAACGAATTATAAAATAACCAAACAAAATACACTGCCCAACGGGCGGGTAAAAAACTAGTTCTTAAGTAAAAAGCTCTGTTTGGTAACCGGCCAGTTGATTTGATTTTGTGACAAGAAGGAAATTCAGAGATAGGCATTTGGGCTTAAAAGCTCTTAGTTCATGGGCTTGAAGTCCGATAGTTTATCGGGCTTAGTTAAGAGGTAAACCCGTTCCACATATTACACGTCCAAAACGATCCACCCGCCATATTTTCTGTTGCCAGGAAACCCGCCTAAACCCAACGAACTCCCTCCGCAGTTCTCTACAGATAATGCTCTCCCTATCTACTCTTCCGCCATCTTCCTTTCTCCGGCCTCACGGCGGCGACCGGAGGCTATTCCAGCGTCTACATTATCCAGAAAGGTTTTTTTTATCTTTTTTTCTGTTCCACTATCCGTCTTCGTCTGCGTTTAAGTCTTCTTTTCCCCCCTTCTCGAAATTGCAGGCTAAGTGTTTGTAGAAATGCCGCAGTGAAAACCTGAGCCCTGCTGCTCTTCTTCCTTCGCAGGTGCAATTTCGAAAAGTTAGGATCTTACCAGATCGAGTGCAAGCTCGCAAAATTGAAGCAGGCTCCTGGGGGCACGAACCCTGATTCCCTGATAAAGGAGCCTCACAAGTACTTCGATCAGGTGATCATATCTGTTCGTTCTGGCGATGGAGGCCATGGGGCTATCCTCAAGATGCCTAACCAGAGTCCTGCCAAGCCTGTTGGGAAGCTAGAGAAGGAAAAGGCGAGGATAAAGGGCTCGATCAAAAGGGATTTTGACGGGTCGCTTGTTCTGCCTGTTGGTGGGCACGGAGGGGATATTGTTGTTTATGCAGACGAGGGGAGAGATACGCTGTTGGAGTTGCATAAAAAGGGGCGGTTCAGTGCCAAAAGAGGTGGAAATGTGGATTCCACGGGAGTGTTGACTCCCCAGTTGCGCAATGGGTTTGCTTCCCCTAGCTTGCGTATCCCCGTACCACTAGGTTTGTAGGCTGCCCGCTGTCGAATATCTATGCATTGCATGTCCTTCCACAAATATGTTGAACCTGTCTTGCTTTGCTGTGTTGCATTACAGGTACTGTTGTGAAGCAAAAAAGAGGCAAGTTGTTGGCTGATTTAACGCAACCTGGTCAGGAAATACTCGTTGCTAGAGGTGGACAAGGAGGGGTAAGTCGTGCACAAATCTTTGGTAATTATGATATATGGTCCAAGATAGTAGCTTGAATGCTACTGTATTTTGCTTGAATTTCTGTAATTGTGATACTGTTTCTTGGTTTTTTGACAGATTAGCTTGCTGGACGCGCCAGAACATAAGAAGAAAAAGCTTATGAGTCTAACCAGTAACGTGCTGAGAGATGATAGTGACAAGGTAAAGTTAATCATCGACTCATGATTCTATGATATGGTTTGGCTAGTTTAAGTTGGCAACAATTCCTCTTGATTGCCTTTTCAATAACTCATTGCAGGTGTTAACTCATGGGCAGCCTGGGGAGGAAGTTAGTTTGGAGTTAATTCTACGAGTTGTAGCTGATGTTGGTTTAGTTGTAAGTGTTGCCTAGTTTAAAGTCTCTGCCTTTTCATTTTACACATATAGGATTGGTTTGACTTGAAAAGTTTACTCTTGCAGGGCCTCCCAAATGCTGGGAAATCAACACTTTTGTCCGCTATTACACTTGCAAAACCTGACATTGCTGATTACCCTTTTACAACCTTGATGCCAAACCTTGGCCGTCTTGATGGTGATCCAGCTTTGGGGCCGGAGATGTATTCATCTGCAGCAACATTGGCAGATTTGCCTGGTCTTATAGAGGGTGCTCATTTGGGCAAGGTATTGATACTTGAGCTGCTAATCCACCAATCACTTCCAGTCTTCTCGTGACCAAAATTTCTGACATCTCCCTTACTACTCAGGGTCTTGGACGAAATTTTCTAAGACACCTTAGGAGGACTCGGGTGCTTGTTCATGTCGTTGATGCAGCAGCAGAGGACCCTGTGAATGACTACAGAACCGTCAGAGAAGTAAGGCATCTTGGGAAATCTATTGATTCCAATTCTGTGGTTCCCCTCTTGATATAAACTAAACCAACCGGTAATGTTGCAGGAGTTGAGGATGTACAATCCCGAGTACCTTCGAAGACCTTATCTGGTGGTGCTCAATAAGATTGACCTTCCTCAGGTGTGTTGATTCCCTTTCGCTCCTCCAAATATCTCAATGCCCAGTTGTGTGAATGTCTGACATACATCTATCTACATGGTTTTCCCCGCAACACTCGATTTCCTTTCTCCAGGCAAATGAGAGGCTTCAATCCTTGACTGAAGAGATATCGAGAATAGGTACGGATGTGTTGCCAATGAACCCACAAACGGTGCTTGAGGCAAGTGATAAATTGGTTCCTCGTACTTCTGATGAAGAAGAGGAAAAGGATTTGGAGGACTATGCTCGCCCCGTCGCTGTTGTGGGAGTTAGTGTACTGTAAGTTTGCACGATGTTTCATATACTTTTTTTCTCTTGAACAGGGATACTAGGGTTTTAGTTCCAATCATCATATATATGTTCCTTGGCTTGTTGCTTCCAGGAAAGGGGTCAGGGTAAAGGAGATGTTGAAGCAGATTCGAGCGGCCTTACGACAGTGCAGAGATTCTGAATGAACCCTTAACATGGAACACAAGACCAAGAGAATGAACGTGTAGTGGGATGAACCCCTTCTAAGCAATAGCTCAAAACAAATATGTTGTATCCGCTGTACATATTTGCCAAGTCATGCAAGAAACCTTTGTGCTGTGTCTGTGTTCAATTCATTTGAACTTAAGGGGTCGTTTGCTTCAAGGATTTGGTACCAAAAAACCAACTATCAAGGATTTAGGTACAATCCGTTGTTTGCTTGCCCCTTTTTTGGAGACCAAATCCGTGGGGCCCACGGATTTTAAGGGTCCAAATCGTGGACCCCACAGACTTATAAATCCCACATGTTGATGTGGGATTTGGAACATGACATAAATCCTTGATGAGATTTCACCCATATACCCTCATGCACTTTTAATATTCCAAGGTTGCCCTCAAATTTAACTATTATACATTATAATTAACAATAAATGAATAATATAAACGTTCAATTAATGTGCAAACATGAGTTAGATTTTTTATATCATTTCTTGTGTTCTAGTTTTCTTTGACCTTTTCATGGAACGTGTAATTCTTTGTTCTCCTGATTCTAATATATGTTGTTATATGTCACTTTTGAAAAGGAGGACAAAGAATTGGTAATTGATTATGTTACGTTAAAAGTTAAAACGGAATTTTCTCGTTTATTATTATTGTCCATGTGGCAACATTATGCTTATTAGTATGTATTGTCCTTGTTTTGTGTACATATCATAAACATGTCAAACATATAGAAAATGATAGTAAGGTAATTTTGAAGTTTTGTCCTTGTTTTGTGTACATATCATAAACATGTCAAACATATCGAAAAGGGCAGTAATGTAATTTTTGACTTCAAGTAGTAAATCCCACACCTTTAAATCCTTGATAAAAACATCCCAACAAACAAAGAATTGTTACAAATCCATGATGCCTCAAATCCTTGATAAATCCTTGGGTTTTTAAATTACAAAACCCTTATTTTTAAATCCATGAAGCAAACGACCCCTAAGTGTAGAAAGAAACCTTCACAATAGCATAAGAACTCCATATTAACTTAAGTGTCAAGTTAGCACGGTAGACGATGCAATTTCTCTTACCTTCTTATCTTTACAGCCTGTTTGGAAAAGGCTGAAATGGAATTCCGATTCTCAAACTTTTCATGATTCTCATGTTTGGAAGTAAAAAGTAAAAAGGAAATGAAATTCCAAAAGGTAAAAGGTTGGAAAATTCTAAATCCTACCAAAAGTGGTCGGAATTGGTGGAGGGAGTGATGAAATTAGTGGACCCTACATTAACTTTAACTCACCTTTACAAGAAAACCCTTACTACTTTTGGATTTGAAATCATTAATACCAAGGATATTATTGTAAAAGCACTTGTAAGAAATAGTTGACTTTAATTTCATCGATGGAGTAATATTTAAAATTTTCATCAAATGAGTTCACCATCTTAACCACTAGGATTATAACTTATAAGTATGTGATGATATCATCAAATGAAATTTAGAAAGAGTAATGCTGTGAGTAATGACTCATAATTTCATAATCAAACTTCAAACCTTTAGAATGCACATGTCTCGACATCTCTGATATGAATATTTTCAAGGAAGTAGTCGTAAACTATCCGACCACTGAAGAAAACGTCTTCTTCTGCGTCCGACATTAATCGCGCCCCCGTTTCTGCCACATGCTGGTTGTCCCAGAAACTGAATTTGCCATTTGCCATATTCAGTGCAAGGTACGTAGTAAAGGTACGGAAGTCATAGTACCTTTGAACTCTTCCACTCTAGCTCTGTACATTGACAAGTAAGGTTGACTCTGTTTTTTGGACGAATGTAGCGGATAATCTTCACATGTTTCATTGTACCTGGCCGATACCATATATATCTGCAGACAGAACAATCTTTTTTGTTATCACTTATCAGGGCAGCTCCGTAAGACAGACAAATGCTACTCCAAAACGGGCATGCATGTCGGCAGGACACTTGTTAACTGCATGTTTTGCATGTAACTACGTATGTAGACTGAATGTCGTCAATCGATTGTTGTCGCGGGAGAAAAGCGTTTGAAAAGAAGTAATTAAGGGGCGCAGCTTGAATATTTTATTTGCCAAAACAGAATCTATTAACTTATTAATCGTAGTTTGGTCTGAGAATTTTAGAGAAAAAATTTGTTAGAACCCAAAGTTCAGTGATCGATATTGTAATAGACCTCCTTTCTTCACCACTCACCAGCATGCATGAATATAGACTAGATATGATCGCAAAGTTTGCCACCTTATACAGTTGAGTTTGAGTGCTACGGAATTCCCCACGTGTATGAAAAAGGCGAAAACACATCCCCATGAAGTGAAAAATTTAAGCCATGCAGCCGTTGGTGGTGTGTTTAAGTTTTTCCTGTTTTGTCTTTTGGTAACAATACATTCCCCCCTTTCTTGATCTCAGCCTTTTTCTCATGGCCTTATCCTCTTCCCAACCCTCTACTCACCCTAAACTCCTTTCGCCCTCCAATCCCATTAGTTAGTGAGTAATGACCTTAATTAGTCCAATTAGCTTCTTCATAACCCACATGAACATCCTTTATCTTATGCTTGCGTGCTTAATTATATCGGTGTCTTTCAACTCACATCATCAAAGAGACTAATTGTTGATCCCTAGTTAGTAGGAGTGAATATACGCTCCGATTCGGTTAAATTGGTCCAAATTGATCTGATCCCGATTTGGTTTTTCGGAAATATAAGAGCCAAAGATTGGATTGGATACAGTCCGGTCCTGTCCCAATTCGGTCTTGGTTTTAGATTGAGGTTGTGGGGATTTGAGTGGCTTGGCCGCTTGGGGCCTCAAAAGGTGAGGAGTTGGTTAAGTTTTGGATATTGGGCTCTCTCATCTGGTTTTTGGACCGGTCCCGAACGGTTTTTTTATCTCAAATCTAAGCTCAAAATGGGATTGGATTGTTTGCTATCCGGTCCTGGTTCGGTCTCGATTTCGGGTAAAACCAAAAAGCCCAGACCAAATAGCCACCCCGACTAGTTAGTCTAAATCAGAGTGTCTTCCTTCTTATACAATAATCACATGAGATAAAAAAAAATCCATTGATGTTGTAATTGCATGCAATCCTCAAATTACTTTGTCATTCATGAGACCCTATATTGAGAGAGACCTACCGATTGAATCAATTTGTACATTTATGTACATTAAAGTATCATATATATTGAGCTTCTGATGAAGATCGATATCGTCGTTAATCATGACACTTCAAAACAAGTGAAATACCTGAATTAACATTATATCCATTGAACATGATTGGATGTATTACGTATATGTCGTTCATGACGATATTAAATAGTTTTGGTATCAAAAGTTTGGACTCAAGAATTAGCTTAGGCTCAACACCAGTAGACTAGTATATCCATTTGAATCAAACCCTAAACTTTTGCAAGCTCTAACTTGGACTTTCTAATTAAGTGCTTAGGAAACACCAAATGGTTAAGTACAGCGCCGCCTTTAACTGCATCGTTCCTGCCCAGCTAGCCTCCTCGTTTTTTACCCTAAGGTCACATGATGAGCTGTCTCGTTGGGACAAAACCCACTTGGCAAACCTGAGAATATTAGATTTTATAGCAATATAATCCTTTCACTTCTCGCCAAGTCTCCGCCCCCACAGCAGCCATCTGTACCCCCCACGTTTTCACTCTCCCAGCTCATTTTTTTTCAGGGCTTGTTTGGTTTGCTGGATTGTTGAGAAAATGGGGGGAGAAGATGCAGGGCGATAGTCAAACGGTTCGTCTTTCGTGTAGGCGATCTGAAGATTTCAAGTTCGATCTTCGAAAGGTGTTATCATTGGTTGGGGTTTTGCAATAACATTCTGAATGAGAAGAGTATATATTTTAGTCGTTCTGGTAGGATAGTTCGCGTCTTGTATCAGCCAACATCCTAATAGGCCAACAACCCTGAAATTTACCTGATGAGTATGTCACTCAAGCGATACCTGTAAAAAGTGGTTCCTTGTCATAAAAAATTGGTTTACAAGCACATCATGCCATGTGCATGTATAATATGTGTATCATCGAGGAAAGAAAAGATTTAGGATACCACTTGAATACATGAGGCCACAAAATATAGTCCATATAAATTATTTGAAAAAGAAAGAAAAGATTTCGGGTTCTATTTATAAGAATAACCACAATTCTTATGTAAACAAATAAATTCATATACTTACATAAATAATCACCAAATGACGTTAATCAACTCCAGAATTAGCTAGTGTTGTGTCTCCTTCCGACACAAACAAGCACACAACAAACCCGTTTTCTTTACAAAATTGCCAAGCCAAACGATGCCTTCCTTTGTTCCCCTTTTCCCCTCTTATCCTCTCTCTCCATCGCACTATTATAAATACGCCAAATCCAGCGCCCTCCTTCCTTCCCCCCAACAAACTCTTACTAAAATCTTTCCCCACCAAAACCAGTCCTTATCAACACCTTTTCGTTCCCCCCTCCCTCTTTCCTAATGGCCACGTCATCATCCTCCACCATGGCCGGACCCGGGCCCGACGGCAGGAAGCAGCCGCCGCAGCAGCCACAAGCCCGGAAGCCGCCGGCCCAGGCCAGCTCGAGAAAAGGCTGCATGCGAGGGAAAGGCGGGCCCGAGAACGCCCTGTGCAGCTACAAGGGCGTCCGTCAGCGGACATGGGGCAAGTGGGTCGCCGAGATCCGCGAGCCCAACCGCGGGGCCCGCCTCTGGCTCGGCACCTTTGATACCTCTCACGAGGCCGCCATCGCCTACGACGCCGCGGCTCGCAAGCTCTACGGTCCCGAGGCCAAGCTCAACCTGCCCGAGCTGCTGCTGCAACAACAACAGCACCATCCTGTCAACAACGGCAGCAGCAGCTCGGGCAGCTTCGGTCACACCCCTCTTAGGGATGTGGACCCTACACAGTCCCTGAAACCTGAGTCCTATTCAGCTGTTTCAGGGACCGTCACACCATATATATGTGGTGGTGGTGGTTCTCCTTCTCTGTCATCTTCACCTTCTTTCTCCTCATCGTCCTCCTCGAATAACGTATCCACCACCATAATAGGCAACTTTGACCTGTCCTTTGAGGCGGCGGCAATGGGATACTCGAATTCGAGCGGGGACACGGTGGGGAGTAATGATTGTGGTTATTACGAGGTAGGGGGGGCGAGTTCTGGTCGAATTTGCAGGTGAACTTGCCGTTGTTCGACGATTCGATATGGGAGGAGGCGGCGATGTCGTTGGATTTCCCGGTGGCGATGCAAGAACCGGCGGGGGTGTTTGCCGGAGGGGTGATGGAAGGGTGGGATGCGGCGGCGGGGGCGGCGGCCAGCACAACAACGACTCCATGGTGCATGTAAATTGTAAATTAATTAATTCGACCATATCATGCACTTGGAACCAATTAAAACAAAAGACATCATGATCCATTAATCAGGTTTAATGATTGTCTGATTTTTATGGAATATGTAGGAAATTAGAGATGTGGAAATGGAATAGTGTATAAATTTGTATATATACCAGCAGCGAGTTTGCAAATAAATAGCATAAAAATAGGCAGAGCTAGTAACAGTTGTATGTATTGTACTGTACGAGGAAAGCCCACCGTCCTATGATTTGGTTTGGTGGCTATTTCTTCTCAGTCTGTCCCTCTCTGTGTGTTCAGTGTAAATATCCCATGAGACATAGTCTATAGTTGTTGTAATGATAGAAATCACGTGTGCTTGATCAGCCCCACGTGCTTAATATTGGACTGGTGTTGGCTGATGTATACAATGTAACTATGGTTTGTCCAGTTCTGGTGTTGAGCTTAATTGGAACTAACGAAAGAGAGATTGATCCTCAATTCACCTATCATGCACGTGAAGATTTGTATAACACTTTTTTCATTTATGTGGATTGATTATAAGCTCTTGAACCAAACCCACAACAAAGAGTTCCTAACTTTGAAGTGGAACATTCGATCCCAACAACTCGGATTATACATATTCCGAAAGGTGGCTCGAAACACACCTCTTCAAAATCGCGGCAGCCTGCGACGACTCGGCCAAGGGCTGCAGCCAGTGCGTGTCTGTTGAGCAACCACTAGGAATCGGCTTCGACAGCATAACCATCTTTGATTCCGATGCCAAATCGAAATAGGCGTGTGTTCTCGGAAGGCTGAGTAAGCTGGCTGAGGCATCATGCTTCCAAGAGCAAAAAAAAGAACTCATGAGCCCTGATATGGTTGGTATATGCACCCAGAGGAGCAGAGTGTTACTCTGTAAGCAATCCTTCAAGATTCCCAACATCTCCTATGGTGATGCAGACCGGACGGATTGATACACGCTCCTTGGGATGAAGACAACATAAGAGCATTATCATCCCTAGTTACATGGTCTTTGTTACAGTTGGACTGCATAGGAGGGGGGACATGAAAGATGCGACTCATGAGTATGATTGATCTGATCCGGTCCACAATTGAACCCGAATCAGCATAAAAATATACAAGGAAAACGCGTTCCTTTCCCGTCAATTAATCCAGATAACTAAACAGACAGAGTGTGAACTAAATCGCTGCACGCCCATTGTGTCAAACCTACCAATGCATCATCCATTTAAGGTGTTCATATTGCAGCTACGTCTGTTTCTGGAAAGCATGACATCAATCCACAAGACAAGGACAAACCATTTAAGGAAAAAAGGACCGTGTGACAACTTCTCACATTGAAACGAACTACGCATACTCTTCTTCCAACCACAACCACAAACTTCTCAGCTTAGTCTGCAGTCAAATGCAGAAGACGCGTCGAAAGGGAAACATGACACCGCACATAAAACAAATTCAACGCGAAACAAAAGCATCCATGCGACGCGACACTGGATGCAAACAAATTAGGGAAGATGTAAGAAAGGGTGAATGTGTACTCACAGATCATTCGCAAGCATGAACATGTCCGGCAAAGGCAGCATCAAACCTGTATTGTACAAACCATTCCTCGTACATCACTCGCGTGGTTTCCCCTTCGATATAGTGGTGCCCATAGCTATGATAAAATGGACTGTGCATGATTACTACGAGCCACGTGTCTCGCTGTGCTGCTCACTTTTTGCAGCTCCTCTTCTAGCCACCTGTATCTAGGAGTGCACTTCCCTGCAAAAGAGGAATTTTACTCAAATTCGCATATAATCTTCCATCCTTGGATTTGCAACATTAAGATATAGAGATGGAAACAAAGATTAAAATCAAAATCAAACCCTCTAACTCAATATTAGTGCAGAAGCTCAGATATATGATGATGCTGCAGTTACCATAAGCAGAGTAGCTGGAGAGGACGATAATGTAAGCAGAAGCCCTCTTAACATAGTACCCTAGCGGAGATGTACTGCCTGATGCTTTATATAGGACACGATAACGGTGTAAGGCTTGAATGGTTTAGGTTCGCCCTGCAATTACACACCAAACAACCATTTTGGTCATCTATCTAGTACACAAGATGAGAGGGAGGTTATACATACCAATCTCTAGGTAATTTCTTCCCCGTTCGACCTTAAATTGTCATGCAACGGATAAGCATCAGCATAAGAGAGGTCACCCACAAACGGCAATGTCTTTGGTGCCACAGGATTGGATAGATAGCGATCAATTGTCTGGTTCGAATCATGAGTTTAAACCCAGATCACCTATGAGGCCAAAAGTACACTGGACATCAGGGCCTGGTTTAGGAGGTGTTGTGAACCAGAATTGCCTGGTCAAGTTGCTTCCGATCCCCACCTCATAGTAGTACTTGTTGTCAAACTGTAACAGTTAAAGTACAGAAGTTGGTCATGAGATTTAAAACAGGTAGAATGCACATATGCAGCTACCAACTTTCTCAATGAATTACATTATGGATCATGCATATACCTCAAAGCCTTAAATGGTGCAATGGAGAATGTAGCCAGAAGTATAATTGACATACTTGTACTTCGTAACAATTCCTTCAGCACGACTCTTTAGCTTGCTGCCTTTAAGCCAATACTCAACTGCATTTGAGCCAGGCTCATTTGGAGCCACTCAAGACACCAGAATCCCCTTGCCCTCGTGGTCTCCTTGTGTAATGTGGACCCTTTTCCACATTTCAGAAAAGAAATCAAGACAAACAAATTTGAATTGAATATGTTTCTGTGTTCAGCAATGGACAGAAAGAGAATGAAAAGTCAAAATTTACTTTCTTAAACAGGTTGAATTGGGACCATCATGCCTATACACATATCAGCGAACTGAAAATCTAATGCCAAACATGAAGAACAAAACAATTGTGCTAGTTCCATCTGTTGAGATCAAAAGCAGAACATGCAATCAAAGTCAGGAACTTTCGAGCAAGTTGTCATCTGGGATCCAGATCAGGTAATCAAATCTTCACTGTACAAGGAGCTATTTTGCGTTTTTAATTGGATCAAACTGCAAAAGAAGTTTGCAGCAAAGCTTAAAACCTTCAAGTTTACCTGTTTAGGGGGCATTGTAACCGCGAGGGATTTTGAATACATCGCTGTCTAGCGGCATATCATGAACCAAATCGGAGCTTCTGACGAAACTGCTGGTAATACCACCATTGATGATGTCTGCCAAACCCAATACCACAGCTAAACCCAGTAATAACCAGTTCCTTCCCAACTCTGCGGTGCTTCCTAGCTCTCGTTTCACAGATAACCCATATCCAGTGCGTAAACACGATCGGATGGGGGCTGGACGCCAGGGAATTATCATGGTTTCGACAACTTGCTACTCCCCCCCCCCCCCGCGGTGGCGGTGTGGGTTTCAGCGGGTCGATGCCTCGTCGGCCGGCGGAGTGACTGGACTTCGCGATTTGGGAACAGAGGAAAAGATCCAATGGGCTTTCGTATTCCCCAAAACTCAAAAGCATTCAGTTGGTATATAAAAAGTAAAACCGAATAGGGTTGTTGGTTCGGCTATAACCGTAACTTTTTAGTTGATAGATCAATTTAGTAAGTTATCAGCTAATATTTTAAAATTTTATGTTTACCGTTAATTGCATTGTTCCTATTATTTGATTTACAATTATCGTATAGTCACGGACCAACTCTTAGTCGTGGGTAGGATGACAATTTTGCCCATACCTATGGGTTTTTAATTATCCAATCTAATTGGGGTTAATTGCATGGTTGGTCATTGAGATTGCAAAAAACATTCATGTTTGGTCACTAGAAATATTTAAATCCAATATTGGTCACTCAAATTAGTTAAATGGTTCAAGTTTGGTCACTCTCCATCTAATTCCGTTAAATTTGTCTGACGTGGCAGTCAACCCTCAAAATTGACCGTTAACTCAGTGACGTGACAATTAAAAATAATAAATAAAATAAATTTTAATTTTCTTCAATTTCCAACTCATTTTCACAAAAAAATAAAAAAAATAAATAAATAATTATAATTACACATTGAAAATGGGCATTTCCTCTGCCACTACATCCCTTCCCCGCAACCAAACCAACTCCCAATTCCAATCCCTAGCTCCGCCCACTGCTGCCGTCCCTGCAGCTCCCAATTCCATGTCGTCAGCCTTGTTCCCTCGTCCTTTGTGGCAAACCCCATGCCAGTTCTCTTTCTTCTCCACCCTATCTGTTTCCTTTATTTCTACCCCACATTTCTAAACCAAATGCTCAATACCTTCCACAGTTTTTCCCAATTGAATCAGGGGATGAGTGAATGAAGAAATATGTTTACTTATAGCCACCACAATACAGTTACAACATGCATTCACTGCATCCTGTTCAAATTGAAACAGGAGATAGAAGAGGAAGGAGTTGTTGAAGAGGGAGAGGGAGGTGAGGGTTTGGATGCGGCAGAGGAAGGAGGGAAAAGGGCCGGCGAGGAGGGCGTTGGAGAGGTCGACGGCGGTGACGTGGGCGCCGTCCGGGGAGCAGAGGACGCCGTTCCAGGAGGAGAGGGCGTCGTTGGGGTCGGAGAGGCCCAGCTTCACCCGCTGCAGGAACAGCCCGTCCTGGTTCAGGGACACAGCGTCGGTTGTGATGCTCAGCACAGAGGGCAGCAAGATTAGGGAGGGAAGCGCCATGGTTCCCGTTTTCTAATTCCGGAAGGGCAACGGGCCGGCGAAGCTGTTGCTGGTTTGGTTGCGGGGAAGGGATGTAGTGGCGGAGGAAGTGCCCTTTTCAATGTGTAATTATAAATTTTATTTATTTATTTTACTTTATTGTGAAAAATGAGTTGGAAATGGAAGAAAATTAAAATTTATTTTATTTATTATTTTTTAATTGCCACGTCACTTAGTTAACGGTCAACTTTGAAAGTTGACTGCCACATCAGAAAAATTTAACGGAGTTAGACGGAGAGTGACCAAACTTGAACCATTTAACTAATTTGAGTGACCAAGATTGGATTTAAATATTTCTAGTGACCAAACATGAACGTTTTTTATAATCTCAATGACTATCCATGCAATTAACCCAATCTAATTGGGTTGGGTATGAAATCCAAATAGATGGATGTGGATAGAGTTTGATGGGTTTGTACCCATACCCATTTACTTTGGGTTGGGTTGGGTTTATAACAAATGGATTTGGGTTTGTACCCATGCCCAAATACAAATTCCAGTTTGGTACCTAAACTTAATAGATATGCATATTTAATATCTATTTTTTTGCATATAAGTCCTCAAAATATCGATGGAAAATTATGTTTTGGTACTTAAATTTTTTTGGTTTTACATTTTGGTACCTAAAATTTTCAAGTTTTACAAATAGGTCCAATTTTTGCATGTGTAGTTAAAACACTCTCAAGTAAATGGATATCCATATCCAACCCATACCCATTTAGATTATGGAAGCAATATTCATACCTTACCCAAACCCATCTACAAACCCCCCAAACCCATATGCACTTCACCCATACCCAACCCATTATCAATGGGTCTACTTGGATTTGAGTATAATTACCCATGGGTGGGTAATAGTCATCCCTAGTTGTAACATCCCGAACCTCGGATAAATTTTTTTTTGGTTAAATACACTTGTATATCCAAAACTTTCACGGTTGTGCCAATAATATCCAAATTTCCCGAAATACCACTTATATCCAATTCCTTCACATTCTTTAATGGTGTTTTTGGATATACAAGTGTATTTCACCAAAAATAGATTGGAAAATGGATAGATTTGGCAAAGAACAACTTTAAAACATGGATATAAGTAGTATTCCGGGAAATTTGGATATTATTGGCACAACCGTGAAAGTTTTGGATATACAAGTGTATTAAACCTTTTTTTTTCCAAGTGGCGGACGTATATTGCACGATTCGAGACTGGAAAAAAAATCGAGAAGTTATCCTATACGAGGTAGGATCAACGAAACCACTTAAAAACTCCCCAAACACCAAAAAGTGCCTCTGACCTGTTGGTCAGAAAGGAAAGGTTCAGCAACCTAACCAGTTAGACTATGCTGGTTTCAGTGATACAAAAGGAGCCGAGTAATAAATGAGCTAATGACGTAGGCATTGCACCAGCAGCTAGCTTGTTTATGGAGCCGGCTTTGGAACTTGAGTTTCTTCCTTTCAAAGCTACTGCTCCTTAGAAGGCCGCCCCAAGCCTTTACTCCATCTGCTGGAAAGTAAATGAAGAGGTAAGAGCTTGAATCAAAGAGCTCTATAATACCGGTAAGCTAGCTCTCCATTTTTGCCTCGTACAAACACCAAGGAGAGAAAAGAAAAGAAATCATATGAAACCAAAGCCTAGCATAGCCTCTGTATTCCCAGCAAAGGTTTAGAACCTATACAAACCTATTTACAAGCCAAAATCGTCAAACCAACTCACCAAATATTCTTCGCCGAAACTTTTGCCGTAACCTTTTCGTCAGCCAAACCAGCACCAATAAAGGTAGTATCAGCTACGAAGCTTGATACCGTTGCGAAGAGCAAGTCTCCACGAGCATCACAGAGTTTACGGAATTGAATTCCGAGCTCAGACAAGGGAGAAACGAGTCCGGGAAGTTGGTACGCGAGGTGAGAAAATTTCCAGTTTTCTGCAGATTTTGGGACATGCAGAAAATTAACAATTAATCCGTAACTTCGTACTAACGATGATCAACTCGCAGTTTCTTCGTTTGACGTCCAAATGACGAACCGTTTTCGCCTACAGGACCATAGAAACAAGGAGAATTTTTGGGAGCCAATCTCTGGAATTTTAGAACTTAATTCATGGCTTGGAATCAACTAAATTAAGGTGTGTGGGGATGAAGAGGACCTTAATTATTGAATCGATTATTTATGCTTGATTTGCATATTTGGATGGATGGATTGGTGTGGTTAATGACTTGGTTGCTGATATGATTATTTGGTGATTAATCTTTATTGTTGCGGATTTTATGGTGTACATATCGGTATTTGACAAGTTTCACCGTAAAAATGAATAGTTGGGTTTATTGAGTTTAAAACTGATTTAGGAGATTTTTGTTTGTCTAAAATGATGTTGAGGCATATTGAGCAGAAGGTTTCACTTGAAAATTGTTTATGGATTAAAAACTGCATAACGGTGAATTTTACGGAAAACTCGGTAAAAACGTGTATTAATTATCTTTAAGATTTTGATCACTTTAAAATGGTCAGTATGGATTGTTAAATGAGTTTTGGTCTGGAAATGGTAAATTAGACAGTTGGTGGAGTTTTTATCTTTAAAATGGTAAAAACGAGCTTAATACGAGATTTGCGGTAAAGACCGAGTTTAATATTATTTTCATGGTTTTGAGCTATTGAAAAATATAAAAACTGGACAGACCTGTTTTAGGATGATAAATGAAGGTTCTTGTATTTTTTGGAGATTTTCGGATTTACCGTTTTGTGGGAATTTAAGTTACCATAAAATAATGGTTAATACGAGATTTTTTATATTTTATTGTCTAAATTGATTTTTATGACCAGAACTAGATTAAATGGATATTTGTGTCAATAAATTCATTTACATGAATTGTGTGAGGATGTTAATGAAGGAAAGTGAATTTTGAGATAAGGACATTTCTAACCGCAACCGGGTTATTTACAATTATTTGCATCGGGGTTATTTCGTGAAATCGTTGATGAATTTTGGATGAGGAATGGTGATATGGTACTGCTGAGTAGCTTAACTGGAGAATGAGATGATTTATGTGATTTGTTATTGGATGATGGGATAGTTGATTTTTAGAAACGTCGAGTTGATAATCGACGAGAAATATATATATGGATCGGTTAATCAGTGAGACTACATTGATTCCGGGTTGTTTGTGATGAATGAGAAAAATGAAAATGGTTTGATTCGTGATCATATTAATTCACATAGATGTAGAAAGGGCCTGCACTTACCCTCACCCCTTGAGAGTGGGTAGATTTAGATCGCTTATGCGATTGAGTGTTGTGGTTGCATGAGCACCACGGATGAGTGTTGTGGTTAAAAACCACGGATTGAGTGTTGTGGTTGCATGAGCACCACGGATGATGATTTGCTCGAGCGAGGGTAAGTGTATGGTGACCTTGGCGCCATTAATAATTAATCGGAATTTTCATATCATGCATTGATTATGTGTGTTCGTGAAATTATGTGATTATCTTATTTGATAAATTGATTTGGTGATGATGAGTTGGTGGATTCGATAATTTGATCGGTAAGTTATATATATGATGATTTAAGTTGGCATCTAGAGTACTAAATTGTGATTGATTACGATTGTTTGATTAGCTGATTGCGGTCCCAAAATTAGGTCGTGGGAAAGATCCACACACACAGCTTAGTTGCTGACCCACGTCTGTTTTCAGGCTCGCAGGTGCAACTAGGATCGGACTACTGAGGTTGCCCTATCCTGTTGTACTACCATCATGAGGTAGTTTGGAACACTGTTCTGTCATGGTCACCTAGGATTTCTGCTTTGAGTGTTTTCAATAATAACCCACATTTTGTAAAATTCAATAAGTGGGTTGCGAATCGAATAATGAGTTGTATGATAACGGTTTATGTTTGTGTTTAATAATCGGATATGATGTTTGAGATGATTGAGTTCAACCAGTAACACCAAGGATTTGGCTGCGCGGTTGAACCACGGGTTCAACCACAGAGATTCTGGGTGGGGTGTTACACTAGTCGTGCGGCACTTAGCACTCAAGTCTCGTTAGAGCGCTAAGTCAGCCTTGCTCGTATTCATTCAAACTCACAAGTATGGAGAAAACTCTATAGATAAAAATCTCTCTATTTCTGGATGAATGACAAATGAGGGAGAGAGCTGCTTATATAGGCATCCTCTCCACTAACATAAATGAACGAACTTAGAAGTCCCCATACATGAACTTGCCCCCATACATGAATGGTAGTAAATAAGATGAATGCATGAGCACTCATACATGAATCGAAGTAAATGAGTTTGTCGGTTAATTGGATAACAGTGAAACAAATTATTCGACAAAGTTAGACTAAAACAATCAATCAGTAATCTAACCAACAGAAGGCCTCCTAATTTTTTTCAAATTGCATTTTTACAAATTGTTATCTACATACATGTATAGGTGTCAAAACATAGCCCGACCCGATTAACCCGCCCTATCAACCCGACCCGCAACCCGAATTGACTAAAAGTCAACAACCCGTAACCCGCCCGACCCGCAACCCGATTGACCCGCAACCCAACTAACCCGCAACCCGACTGACCCGCAACCCGATTAACCGGAACCCGATTGACCCGAACCCGACTAACCCGTAACCCGACCGACTCAACCCGAATTTCATCTAATCCACTTGAATAATTATAAAAATATACAATACATAGTTTTTCAAAATAAAGTTTTTCATTCTAAATTTAAGTAAAATTATTTTTTCATTTCGTATAAGAAATTTAAAAAATATGAAACTCACTTGATATTACGCATGTTAAGAAAATTACCAAAATTGAAACATGAAGGTCACTTGAGATCATGACAATATTAATATAATTTATAAATTAAAATTTTGGTTAATTTAACTATTCAGTAAAATTATCAATTAAATATAAATAAAGTAAATTAATGTATTTGGTAATTTGATGTTTTTAAAAGAAGAGGGAAATTTGGTTCTTTGAATTTTTTTAGAAAAGAAACAAGTGGGAATTTTTGTGGTTTTGATATTTGGGAAGAGAAAGAAGTGGGAAAGTTTGATTTTTTTGATTATGAAAGAGAAATAAGGAGGGAAACTTTTGACTTTTCAACTTTTTGTGGAAGGAAAGAAGAGGGTAATTTGTTTCTTTCAATTTTATGGAAGAGAAAGAGGAGGGAAAATTGAGTTTTTCTAATGTATGGAAGGAGAAAGAATGAGGGAAATTTTAGTATTTTGTGAAAAGAAAGAAGGAAACAAATTTGGTGTTTTCAATTTTTTGGTTTTTCATAATTTTAGCTTTTGAAATATGAATCTTTAACTTTTATACGGAGGGCATGACTAGTTAAAATTATTCTTATATGCTTTGAAGGCTAATATGTATATATGTATGTAATTGTTTATGGGCTAATAAATGAATTAACCATTAGTTACAACAATTTATACTAAACTTGATAAGTAATCTTTGACGGTTCATTGTTTAGGATATAAAGTATATGGTTAGGGTATAATCTTTTTATCTATGTTTTAAAAATCAAAGTATGAATTTCACTTTTAAATTAACTATACTAGCAAAATCACAACTCAAGGACATATGATTAGGGTATAGGTTATGTGGTTAGTGTATAATGTATTGATAGTTTAGGGTATACAATCAACAACATATGCTAACTTAATATTGTTGATTGAGGGTAAGGCTAAGTGTATAGGATATATGCTATTGAGTAAGTTATGATTGAAGTCACAATAATTTTACTAAATTTGATAGCTAATCTTTAATGGTTCGATTTTTAGGATAATTCGAACGATTTTACAAATAACTCGTTTGGCAACAGTTTACTGAAGTTATTTGGGCAATGAGTTATTTTGAAATAACTCCTTTTATCACTATGCTTTTGCCAATTACCACACGCCAAATTCCAGATTTGCATGGTTATACTAAACAAGATACTTTAATTCAATTACTACTGAATTAATACTAAAATATCAAATAAACAATTAACGGTGTCTTTTGGTTGCAAATATTGATATCACCATTACTATTAGCTATAATACTTTACCAATTATGATTAATTACATAACAAGTTTGCAAGTCATACAAATTGATTAAAAATTTTGACTAGTTTTTTTCAAAAAAATAAAGTATATATATACGAGGTAGAAATAAATTGGTTAAAAAGTTGAGAAAATATTTTAAATTAGTGTAATAAAATGTGTAAGTTGGTAATGAGTAATGAGTTAAGTTACTTGATGCGCTGGCCCGAACAACCCGAAACCCGACCCGCCCGCAACCTGCCCGACCCAAAACCCGATGAACCCGCAACCCGATTTGCCCGCAACCCGATTGAACTCGAACCTGATGAACCCGCAACCCGACTAACCTGCAACCCGTTTGAACCCGAACCCGATGAACCCACAACCCGACTAACCCGCAACCCGTTTGAACCCGAACCCGATTGAACCCCGCCCGAACCCGCCCGAACCCGCCCGATTGACACCTATACATACATGTATGTCCCTTTTAAGTTTTTATCATTCAATGAAAATCAAATTTAACAAAAATATCATTCTATAATCAGATAAATCCACCACAAATACACATAACACCAGTATGCCGTCAATTTTAATTAAAGAAGCTAACAAGAACAAAAGACCCTAAAACAATTATTCAACTCATAAATCCCACCAAATCACACGAAAGTTTAAAATATTGCTTATGATAGTCGAGTTACTGTGTGCAAGTTCATATTTCTACTGGTCTCCTTCTGAAGCCTTTACTAAAATTATTATCATTTGAATCTAATAAACTATTGCACCACTAACAAGATAATGTTTACCAAATACCAATACAACAAACATACAAGCATAGACTTTATTACCATCTTATTCTGCACATCAACCACTCATGCAAGCAAGTTACATGACCTATATTATTTAGTTCAATCCCTCCCCAGACATCTATCTATCGGCTAATGATTCTACCGATAACAGAATAACCGTTTAACAATACTAAACAAGCATACACTTTATTACCATATATATCATATTCTTCACATCAACCAAATCACGCAAGCACATGAACAATCAATCCATCACTCTGAACAATCAAAGATGGAGTTTCAAGCTGAGGCGGCGCGCGATTCCGGCAAAGGATTCCAGAACCTGTTGAGCAGCCACAAAGAATCAGCTTCCACAGCATAACCGTCCTGATTCCGATGCCAACCGAAAAAGGCATGCGTCCTGTTCTTTATGTCTAGAATGCCATGCCCGAAGCTCGCTTCTCTAAATGCTGAATATCCCGGTTGCGGCTCTATTAAGCTGCACGTACAATAAGTAACACCAAGATCCATATCGTCAAACCCTAGATAGCTAGTCGTGTGTCGTATCATCGTATCACACATGTTGTTGTGATACGATGATATGACCATGGTTTTACAGGTCGAGATTTTTTCCTGGAATCCAAACCATAAAGAACGAGAATTGATTTATTAATTAATTTAAGTACGTACTCCCAGACCAATCCTTCGAGGTTTCCTCCATCTCCAATGGTGATGTAGACGGGAGCGGAATGATCGTCCACTGGACTGCACAAAGAATTCGTTACGTTGTATGCAATGTTGGAAATGCGTTCCTGCAGAAATTACAGTTAATTAGGTCATGAATGATAAGATACAGAAGAACTTTGATATGGATTTTCGTGTACTTACAGAGCGCTCATAAGCGTGAACATGTCCGGCCAAGACGACATCAACCTTGTTCTGTACGAGGAACGGCTCGAACACAACTCGCATGGACTCCCCTTCCATGTAATGGTGGGCGTAGCTGCTGTAGAATGCCACGTGCATGATGACTAGGAGCCACGGTGTCTCTGTCCTGTTGACTTTGGTCAACTCGTTTTCTAGCCACTTGTATTGTGGGGTGTACTTCCCTGCAAGAACCCATTTATATAATCAAATAAAAAAACACAACTCAACTTATGGAGAGAAGTTCTAGAACGAATTTAATTATGTGTGTTTCGTGCAATCATTATGTATGTAATTAGTGCATTGGAGCAATTAAAGAAGGATTAGGTGGTAAAAAAAACATTAATTGATTTAATTAATTACCATAAGCAGAGTAACTGGAGAGGACAATGATGTAGGCGGAAGCCCTCTTCACAGAGTACCACAAGGGAGATGTACTCCCTGCTGCCTGGTACGGGACTGGGTAACGATGGAGATAAGGCTGGAACGGCACCGTTTCGCCCTGCAGTTAAAAAAGACCAGCTAATCAGAAAGAAAAAAGGGGAAAGATTTGACATATTGGAGCACGGATTAACACTAAAGGTATCGTTTGCTTGTGGAATTTGGGTAATGGATTTGGCACACAAATCCCAAACATCAAGGATTTGACACAAATTCATTGTTTGCTAAGCGAAACAAACCCGTGGGGCCCACGAATTTGGACTCTTTTTTTAGATCCAAACCCGTGGACCCCACGGATTTGCAAATCCCACATTTCATTTGGGATTTGATAATTGAAGACAAATTTGTGAGACAAATCCATCATAAATCCATGATAAAAGTTAACTAAACAAACAATGTACTCTTCCAAATCCATAATGCAACAAATCCATCACAAATCCAAAGGTTTTAAAAACTCAAAACCATCATTTTCAAATCCAACAAGCAAACGAGATGTAAGAGAGGCAATAGTAGTAGTAGCATTGCAGTAGTACATATTGAGGGAGGAAATCGATGTCGTGGTTTCCAGCAGACCAAATCGCAGGTTGGTACGCAACCAATCTCTCCGTAAACCTTCCCCACGTATCCCACCTCGTGTTGTCGCCCAGAGGATAAGCATCGGCGTAAGACAGGTCGCCCACGAACAGCATCGCCTTCGGATTCCTCGGATTCGACATGTAATGGTCGACCGTCGTGTTGGAATCCGGAGTTTGACCAAGATCACCTGCTCATATATATATCGCAACAAAAAGAATCTTACCAAAGCGATCTATAGGAAGCAGACATTTAAAAGGAAAACTTTCTTGTTTATTAGCTATACAAATAGCGAAAGTTTGCTTAAGGAGTCTGGTGGGATACGAGAGGGTGCACCACCATATGACTCGTTAGGACTTATCTTTACCATTGTTAAAATACGCACCTATGAGGCCAAAAGTGTAAGGGACATCAGGGCCAGGTTTAGGAGGAGTTATGAACCAGAATCGCCGCGTGGGGATCCTGCCAATCCCCACCTCGTAGTAGTACTTCGTATCAAACTGCAACAATTGATGAAGAAAAAAAAAAAAAACAGTGAATGATCATGTATATATATACGTACGTGGATCGTATATATATACTATACTATGTATAGTATATGCATTACCTCCAAGCCTGCAATGATACAGTGGTGAATGTAACCAGATGTGTAATTGATATACTTGTACCGCAGAACCGTCCCTTCAGCACGACGACTCTTCCGCTTGCTTTTGCCGTCAGCCCAATACAGCACCGTGTTGGAGCCGGGCTCGTGTGGTGTAGTCCATGACACTATAACCCCCTTCCCCTCCATGTCTCCTTGCGTAATGTGCACCTAGTTTTTCATAAGACAGTGTTATTTTGGAGTTGTAATTTAGGGTCTCTAATTAATCAGTAATTAATGAAAGCTTGATTAATTAAGTTACCTGTTGGGGGGCATTGTAGCCAGGAGGGACGGAGAAGACGTCGCTGTCGAGCGGCATGTCATTGGCAAGCTCGGAGCTACGCAAGAAACTGCTCGTGATTCCGCCATTAGTGATCTCGGCCAAACTCATCAACACCAAAGCTACGTAACCACAACCCCATTTCATTCCCATGGCTGTCTCTCTACTCGATTAATTACTCTTCTTGAGTACTTGACATGGTGGCAGCGAGAGAGAGAGATATATAGTAGTATAGGAGACAGTCAGTAAGTCGTGGAGACTGGAGTGGTAAGTTGGGGTAGGTCAGGTGGCGCTTGGGTTTTCATTTCTGATACATAGTTTAATTTATATGCTAACATATTTCACGTGTCCCCGATTAAAATAAAATCACGTGATTACGGTGGTCTGGATATAAAATTATAAACCATCATTCTCAGTCTCACATCTTGTCAAGAACCAGTTGATCCCAATAACTCGAGTTGTTGGGAGAAGGTTATGCTGGATCTTATACAGGCTTGTGTATGGTGCTTAACCACTTCCTTGCACGCCCCCTCAAACGAAAGCCGACTCATGGGCTTGAAGTTTGCACAGGCCCGCCATACCATGTGCTTGAAAGACAACGGTTAATATTGGGGGTCGTGAGGACTTGAACACGTGACCTCACGGACAACCAGCTCTGATACCATGAGAAAATTACAGGAAAGGTAAAAGGGACACGATTAACGTGGTTCTTCCTCACCCTTGGTGAGGCTTACGTCCACGGGAAAGTTACGTCTGATATTATTGATGAATGACAAAGTTGCTCCGATTGAGGCTTGGAGACCAAGTCAACAACCTGGGTTGCATGGGCTGCAGGACTCGTAGACAACGTGGGCTGCGGAGCATCAACTCGGCCCAATACTCCCCCGCAAGCTGGCTCGTGCAGATCACGAACGGACAACTTGGAGAGTAAGAAATGAAAGCGTGCAGCTCCAAGACCTTTAGTGAGAATATCCACGAGCTGGAGATCACTGTGAACCTTCACAGGCAAAATCTGACCAGACTGGACGCGTTCACAAACAAAGTGACAATCCATCTCCACATGTTTAGTCCGCTCATGGAAAACAGGATTGTTAGCGATGTGTAAGGCTGCTTGGTTATCGCAATGAAGAGGAGTAGGACTAGACTGAGGTACGCCCAACTCCTGCAGTAACCATCGAAGCCACAGAATTTCACTCACTGTGCTAGCCATGGCTCGGTACTCCGCCTCTGCGGACGAACGAGCAACGACATGTTGCTTCTTGGTGCGCCATGAGATGGGTGCGCCCCCAAGACTAATGTAGTAACCTGTCGTCGAACGGCGAGTGCTCTGACATCCACCCCAATCGGCGTCACAATACGCGGTAAGACGCAAAGGGTTGCTGAAAGGGAAGAACAACCCTTGACCCGGAGAAGACTTGAGGTAGCGAAGCACGCGGAAAGCAGCATCCAAGTGTGTTGGGCTAGTCGAGTGCACATATTGACTGAGAATATTAACTGCATATGTGATGTCAGGCCGAGTAATAGTCAAATAGAGCAATCGGCCAACTAGTCGCCGACAAAAAGAAGGATCGGCAAGCTTATCTTCAGTCGGACGGGTCAACTGGTGATTCTGTTCAATAGGAAAATCATTCGGTCGAGATCCCTGAACACCAGCATCCTCGAGAATGTCAAGGGCATACTTTCGCTGACTCAGTACCACCCCAGTAGTAGTCTTCGAGAGCTCAATACCAAGAAAATAGCGAAGCTGGCCAAGATCCTTGATGCTGAAGCGATCATCAAGGAACTTCTTAACTCGGTTGATGAAGGGCAAGTCATTACCTGTCAGTATGACGTCGTCGACATAGATGAGTGCTGTGACGAACACCGAACCTCGACGATAAATGAATAGTGAGGCATCGGCAGGGGAGGAGCGAAAACCATACTCTGTTAGTGTAGCAGTAAACTTCTGGTACCAATTCCTCGACGCTTGCCTGAGACCGTACAAGGATTTATTTAACCGGCAAACTCGTGTGTCACCGGGAGTACGAAAACCTTGAGGAATCTCCGTGTACACCTCTTCTTCTAATTCGCCATGGAGAAAGGCATTGTTGACGTCCAGTTGATGAAGATGCCAGCCTCGACTCACTGCTACTGCAATAAGACACCGAACAGTAACCAACTTGGCCACTGGAGCAAAAGTGTCATGGAAATCTAGGCCTTCTATCTGCGTATAACCTTTAGCCACAAGTCGAGCCTTAAACTGCTCGATACTCCCGTCGGGAAAATATTTGATTTTATATGTCCACTTTGCCGCGATCGCTCGTTTCCCAGGAGGCAACTGAACCAAGCTCCAAGTTCCATTCTTCTCGAGGGCTGTAATTTCTTTAATCATTGCTTCCCGCCAGCGAGGGTCACGGATCGCTTGGTGGAAGTACTTTGGTTCATCATGCTGGGTAATGGCTGCAAGAAAAGCACGGAAGTGAGGTTTGAAGCCATCATAACTAACACATGCAGCTAAGGGATGTTGCACAAAATTGGTAGCACTTCCCTGGTCCTTATCGGAAGGAAATGAGGTGACATAAGAGTCCAAATGCTTCGGACGAAAGCGTTGTCGGTCACTTTTGCGAACAGCTGGAGCAGGTGAGGGTTGTGAAGCCGGAAGGGGTGCTGGAGCTTCACTTGGAGGAGTAATGGCTGGCGAGTCCTCAGTGGCAACATGACTTGGCTTGGAAGGAGAGGTGAGGTCAACCAATTCCTCACCAGGAGAGGAGACAACTTCATTTGGCTTTTGGTGCTCCTCTTCTCGACCTCGTGTGAATGGGGAGGTGGAATTATGTCCACCAAGCTCTCCTTGGACAGTAGAGCAATCATCCGACCCACCAAGGACTGGCCGAGGTATCCAATGCAATTCTTGCCTAGTACTATCCTGGAAAGGAAACAAACGTTCATGAAATTGCACATCACGGGAAGTAACAATACGTTGAGACCTCAAATCATAGATCCTGTAGCCTTTCTGGCTCGCGGCGTATCCCAAGAACACGCCTGTTTGCCCACGTTCACCAAATTTATCTAGGTGAGCATGTGTATCTTTATAATAGACTAAACATCCAAAAACGCGCAAATGTTGGTACGTTGGAGGTCGATTGAACAGAAGCTCAAATGGCGTCTTATTAGTGGCCGAAGTGGGAAGTCTATTTATCAAATAGACTGCCGTCAAGATACATTCTCCCCAAAATCTGAGAGATAAGCTAGCCTGAAACCGCAGCGCACGAGCCGTATCAAGAATATGACGGTGCTTTCGCTCTACCACTCCATTTTGTTGTGGCGTATCGGTGTACGATGTCTGCAACCGAATTCCTTCACGTGCATAATAACTCCGCAATGCCTCTGTATAAAACTCATACCCATTATCTGCTTGTATTCGTCTGACAGAGGACCTGAACTGCGTATGAACCATTTGACAAAACTGCAACAGGTGATGCTCTACCTCTGACTTATAACGTAACAGGTAAACCCAAACTCCACGTGTAAAGTCATCCACAATCGTCAGAAAATAATGAGCACCACTCAAGGATGCAATTTTGTAACCACCCCAGAGATCCACATGAATCAACTCAAAACTGGTTGTTGTCTTAATAGCGCTAGACTGAAAAGGTAGACGTGACTGTTTTGCCCGTGAACAAGAGTGACAAGGGCTTTTGTTCGACATAGCAAAAGACAACAAACGACTAACATAAGCCTGCTTCTCCGGTGAGGGATGTCCCAACCTCGAATGCCAATCCACTTCCACCACCGAGTGCCTTCTCTGAAACGTACATGCCTGCGTTCTTCCAGCTCCAAACAAACGCAGGTAATAAAGACCGTCACGGAGCTCACCCTTCCCAATCAACTTCCTGGAGCGTAAGTCCTGAATGACGCAAAAACCATCAAGGAAAATCAAATCCATTTGATTATCCTTTGTCAGTCTACTCACGGAAACCAAGTTACATTGAAATTCAGGTACGTGGAGAACTCGGCTTAAACAAAATCCAGGCTGCAATGTCACAGAACCCACATTTTTCACCGGAATGCTCTCACCATTCGGAATCCGAACTGGTTGAACACTAACATGAGCTTCTTTCTCAGATAATAATGACTCATCCATGGTAATATGCTCGTTACAACCCGAATCAATTAACCACTCAGTATCGTTAGAGATAATATCTGCCATATGAGCTGCCGGGTCACGTTCCTCGGTCGCTTTGTCTCCAAGGCCGAAAAATTGCTTAAGTTGGTTCAATTGAGCTACAGAAAAGCCTGCCACTGGACTGTGATCAGAGTCTACTTGAGATGCCTGAGGCTCCCGGTGTTGTACCTCCTTTGTTCCGTCATTTTGATTTCGAGGTCGACGATGTTGTCGGTCACCTTGCTTGTCTCTAGGTGGGTATCCGATCAGCTCATAACACGTCTCTCTAACGTGTCCTTGCTTCAGGCAATGAGTACAACGAGCTCTCTCCCTTTGCTCCCCCGTACCTCGAGATCTATTGCCACGATCGTTTCGATCACGACGATCCGCACGCTCAGCTTCCCCTTGAGCCGCGAAAACTGCCGCTTCAGGTTGCACTTTACGGTTCTAGGAAATTAACTTTTGCTGCTCTACATTGAGAACTATGTTAAAAGCTTCATATAAGCTAGGGATTGGTTTCATGGCCAGTACCTGGGTACGTACAGCCCCAAAGGTGCCCTCATCAAGGCCCATTAAAAAGTCCACCAATCTTGATCCTTCTTGCTGCTCTCGTACACGTTTGCTGACGTCACATGTGCACCCGCCGCAGGTGCATTGAGGTAGGGGTGCGATGGCCGAAGCTTCCTCCCACAGAGATCGTAAGCGAGTGTAGAAGGACGACACCGAACGCTTCTCTTGCTGTAGTAGAGTGAGCAAACGGCGCAGTTCGTAAGCACGAGATGAGCTCCCTTTGCCAAAACGCTCATGTAGATCGGACCAAATCTCTCGAGCGTTTTCGGCAAACCTGATGCTACTCCGAATATCCTTATCCATCGAAGTTTTCAACCACCCCTTTACCATTGCGTCACAGCGAATCCAAGCATCCCTTTCAACGGGATTAGTCGGCTTGACTAAAGTGTCGTCAACA